AAAAAGCACTCAAACCACTCGAAGGAAGGAAGCAGCAAAAGCAGGATGCAAGGGACAAACGTGCTGCATGCCGAAAAGCAGGTTTTATTTATACCGAGAGCTGATCCCTTGGTCCCTTCGGTTTGTATCGCTATTTTCTTGCATGATTCGTTTTACACCCTCCAAAAACTTCCCGAATTCTTGTTTGCGTAAATAATTTACATTTATACAAATAAAATAGATTTATTCATCAACAAAAAAAAAACACACCTTACCTAACCTCAATTTGAAACTATCTTCCAGTGAAGTAGATTTAAGTGAATAAATCTCCTGATAATCGATTGTGTTGCTTTGGGGGAGTGTTCAAAGTGTCCTGGGGTTAATCCCATCTTCTGATCTACTAAGATCACAAAACAGTTTAACTGCATTGACGTTATCGGCGCGCCATTATCGTTTCGTCGATGCGCAGATGGCGCAAACGGCGGGTTAACTCAGGTCAAGATTCTGACTTTGGCTGCGACTGCCCTGATACCTTACTCTCTGACTCTTTGTGAGGGCAAAAAGACGCGTGTGGGAAGAGGTCTGGCTGACTTGGCGACGACCCCATTTACCCACATTGCTGGCGCGCGGGCGCATTTGTTTTCCGCTTTTTGCGTGAGGAAGGAAATGAGACCGGCGGCGCAGCGGACGCTGGAGAGCCAGCCGGGATGCGAATTACCCTTTGGACTAACCGAATTCTTTCGTATTCCGAATTTCCTTTTTGATGAAAAATACATTCGCAGAAACAGGATGAGCGTATTTTTGGAAATTTACAATCAACATACAGTATGTTCAGAGTATAAATCAATTTAACCTAATTTTATTTTATAAGTTGTTTATTACGTTAATAACATTTCCAATTAAAATTTATTTTCTGTGAAAGTTTTTTTTTTCATTGGGTGTTTCCATGTGTAATTTGCATCTGAAATCAACGCGCTTGTTCTTACGTCCGTTCCGAGCGCCCTTTTCCCACTTCAATCGGTTTAATTTTCTTCGCATTAAGCATTCATTAAATTAATTCCGCGCGCGCTCGATCTTCGTCCGCACAAACAAGCTGCCGATGGGATCGAAGTAGATTTACAGAATGCACAAATAACTCACGAGGAATAACACTAACTCGGCAATTTTCAATTCGGATTTGAATTTGGATTATTCGCGGAATGCGAGAATAAACAAACAAGAAATAAATAAATTTTATCGTTAAAATCACACAAAAACACTAAAACATTGAATTGAAAATAAATTGTTGTTTTGTTAAATTCATTAAACAAATAAATTAATAATTATAAAAAAACTAGCTTTTGCCCGCAACTTCGTTCCGCTGGTGCTTCATAAAAATGTAATTCGTTTTTACTCTTTTGTTCTAGATATAGTATGTGTCAATTCTATCAATAAGATTCGCAATTTTATTTCCAAGAAATTAATCTATATATATAAAATTTGCGTGTCACAGTGTTTGTTTCCATACTCCTCCGAAACGGCTTTACCGATTTTTACCAAATTTTATATGCGTATTCAGTAGGTCTGAGAATCGGCTAACATCTATTTTTCATACCCCTAAGTGATAAGGGTTGTTCACCCTTAACTTTTTTTTTAAATTTTTGGACAAATTCTTTTGTTTTTATTTTTTTTTATAATGTGGAATTAAAAAATACATACAACCCTAAATTTTTAGTTTTTTATCACCAACCCCTATTTCTTTATAGCCATTTTAGTAATTTAATCATTTTTCATCCCGCTCAGAGAAAATTTTTATGTGCGTATTCAGTGGGTCTGAGAATCGGTAACTTCATATCTCTAAGTGATAAGGGTTGTTCACCCTTAATTTTTTTTTTAATTTTGGGCGAAATTTTTTGTTTTTATTTTTTTAATGTGGCATTAAAATATACATACAACCCTAAATTTTTGGTTTATTATCACCAACCCCTATTTTTTATAATAAGTAAGTTACTTTTTGTCTACACTAAAATTTATCTAGAAACTAGAAATAATTTATATGGCAAAACAACGTTTGCCCGGTTAACTAGTTATATATAGAATTGCTAATAAGGCACTTCAGCGCGCCATCTCGGATTCAACTATATAACTATAACTATGATTGAATCTCAATGCTTTAGTCTTATGTCTGTCTGCTTATGTCTTTAGGGTTTTCCCGGCAATTATTCGAATTTTTCTCGCCGTAAAAACCATCTTTGGGCTTTAACAAACATTTTAAAAAAAGAATTGCCCAAATTGATCTAGGCTTTATTATGTTATGCGCTTACTAACAGAATTTGCAATTCATTTTTATATTACAAATAATATTTTTTATAATAAAATTTTTTTTTTGTAAACATTCAGTTCAAATATTATGATCTAATTTTTTTCACTTCCATCTGGATGAAAATAAATTTGTGACAATATTTACTTATCATTCCACCTGAATGCATACACACGTACAAAACGCACGTAGCCAAGGCGGCGTTTTATTGCAGCGCTGCAGTGCAAAAATAAAACCAAATCAAATTGAAATAGATGATGATAAAAATTTCATATCATTGCATCTATCGGCCATTTCGTACATTTTGCAATATGCTACGCGAAATGTACATACGCGGATAAATTTGTTGATATTTCCGGGCATATTACGAATATACGAGCGCAAATATACGTCGCTAGTTTTACATCAAACCATCAAGCGTGCTGTGTGCTTTTATTAATAATAATTAGTATTTTATAAGTTCTAGAATTAGTTTGCGTTATTTTACGCTAAAGATTACTATTAATGGTGTTATTACACGGCTTAATTATGTTTTAATTAACAAAGATAAAGAGATTTTGGAATTTAAGCTCATAATGTAGTTGTAGTCGTTGATTAATTAAAAATTTATTGATATCTATATATATAAAATTTGCGTGTCACAGTGTTTGTTTCCATACTCCTCCGAAACGGCTTTACCGATTTTTACCAAATTTTATATGCGTATTCAGTAGGTCTGAGAATCGGCTAACATCTATTTTTCATACCCCTAAGTGATAAGGGTTGTTCACCCTTAACTTTTTTTTAAATTTTTGGACAAATTCTTTTGTTTTTATTTTTTTTATAATGTGGAATTAAAAAATACATACAACCCTAAATTTTTAGTTTTTTATCACCAACCCCTATTTCTTTATAGCCATTTTAGTAATTTAATCATTTTTCATCCCGCTCAGAGAAAATTTTTATGTGCGTATTCAGTAGGTCTGAGAATCGGTAACTTCATATCTCTAAGTGATAAGGGTTGTTCACCCTTAATTTTTTTTAAATTTTGGGCGAAATTTTTTGTTTTTATTTTTTTAATGTGGCATTAAAATATACATACAACCCTAAATTTTTGGTTTCTTATCACCAACCCCTATTTTTTATAATAAGTAAGTTACTTTTTGTCTACACTAAAATTTATCTAGAAACTAGAAATAATTTATATGGCAAAACAACGTTTGCCCGGTTAACTAGTTTTATATAAATTTTTATTAATTTATTTTGTGAAATATAGAAAAATAAATATTTTGTTAGTTTTTTTGCGTAGATTTACAAAAAAAGTACTACTTTCATGTTTTTATCTTTTATGTGCCGATTAGTCAAATAAAAATCAAAATTTTCCTAGAAAAATATTAAAATTACTAATAATGCACTTTGTGCCATCATTATTCTAATTATATAACAATAACTATCAATAAAACTTCATATTAACTCTATTTCTTTATGTTACACTCTGTAAATTATATTTTGGCAACAAAAAGTAACCTAAGTACTTTTCCAAGGTCCAAAATAACTCCACACTAAAATTTATCAAAATTACTTCCATGGTTTTTGCATTAAAACGTAACAAACAAACAAAATCACATTTCTAATTTAGTTAGCATTCTGTTAGTATTATATGAGAGTGTATTATTTCAATTTATTGTTATAAATAATATTTTAAGCGTAGAATACTAAGAGTTTTATTATAAGCTGCCCGCTAGCGGAATGCGAAAATGTGAAGATGGCGACAAAATGGAGTGACTTCCACGTCGCAGCGACTTATCGCCACGCGCCATGCATTTTGTTCGCTCGGCTTTCGTTCGCGCCGCGCACTGCCGTACATCGGAATTAAAGTAATTGTTAAATTAAACGTTAAAGTTACGATTGAGCAATAAATAGCGCAAAGTTATTAGGCACGTTCGGAGTGAAGCCGTCGTGTGCATTTCGTAGCAAACGCTCGCGATCGCTCGACGGTAAATGCCAAGATGCTAGCTACTACATTTAACGTATCTACTTCCTTCCACGTGTTGGGAATAGTAAGCGAATTCCTCTCGAGCCAACAGAATGAACGACGTAATATGAAATTGTGATTGTTGTCATAATTGAAATTGTAATTGAAATGTCACCGTTTGTAGAAAGCTTTCGATCTTGGTTATGAATCTGGAAAATAAACTATAGGCAACCCAATATACACACAATGTGTCATATTTACTTACATTGAATATCCGTATTAATTTGCTGTTCGAATTGAAGTCGACATAAAATTATTCCGTTTTTTTCTTCGCTGTGTGCTAACTTTTTCTCCGCCTGTTTTGCTACTTGCCACTTTGGTTTCCGTTATTTTTCCGGCTCCTGCTCTGATATTCATTCGCACTCACCCGCACACCTTCCTCTTTTCTGCAACGAGTGTCGCACATGTAGCGCGCAACTTTTTCCGCGCCTGTCCGGATAATTGGATTACGAAAGTTTCCTTTTTCTCTCGGCCCAAATCGCATAACATTTTTTCACGCCCACGTTCTTCAAGTGCACACACACCCCGAAAAACTTCCCAACATACTTATACATCTAAAAAAACTTGAGTAAAAAGTAAGGGCAGCGTAATACAAGGAAAACAAAACAGAAAAACATTAAAAAATAACATTTCCCATATGTACAAGATGAATTTGCATGCATTTTTCATACGCTACGTTCTAAACTGATTTCTTTTCTTGTTTTGCAGGAGTATAATGTCAACTGTAACGTCCAGAATGTTTTAAAACACGCGTAAACAAAAGAAGATACAATGAGCGTGCGCAGAGATGAGTTGAAGATCGGTTGGTTTGTAACTTTACTTTTACTCGGCCTTGACGTGCAAGCCAGGCCGCGATGCGGCGGTACACTCACCGATCAACGTGGTGTGATACAGTCGCCGAACTTCCCGCACAAGTTCCCAGTGCCAATTCATTGCGAGTGGATCATAGACGTGTCACACTACTCTACCGGCGATGGCAATACGTCTATTTACGTTTATTTAACACAATTATACGTTTTCGAAGGACTGTCATTCAAAGAATATCAAATCTACGATCAGTCGTACCAACTTAACGGTAGGGACGTGCATTCTGTAACTGAAGGAAACGTCACCAGGGTGAGCTACGTGCGTTCCACCAGAGACTATTTAGTAATAACCTTGAAACTCGACGCGATTGAAAGCACGCATTTGCGAGTGTTGGATCATCTTCTGGACGTGTACGGATTCAACATCACCTACGAAGTGAGCAGAGGACCGCCACGCGAGGATCGCTGCACGATGATGGATTGTGGATTCACGGGAATTTGTCAAGATCACTACACGTGAGTCAATTAAGTTTTTTATTTGTTGGTTAGGGTGATAAAATTACACTAGTGACTAGGTTATGGCATTACGGATGTGTTTTTGTGGGTGGATTTGTGGGATTGTGTGTCAGGGTAGTTTTTGTTCGAGATCGATTGGGGAACAAGTGGGGAATTGGGACGAACGCGTGTCGTATAAATCTTCATAAGTCGTGCGTTATAAAACGTTACGAACGACGCGAACGCAAGAAAATAAAATAAAAACGACGACGTATCAAGATAAACTTAACCTACAAACACATCGATAAACATACAACATTGATTTTTCTCGTATTATACACGAGTGTGTATGATATATTATGAGTTTGAGGCTGGGAGAGCAGTTTTGTTGCGTCGTAACCTCAAAATATCGCGGTTAATTAATCACACAATTTATCTCACTTGCTTATAATTAAGTTTAAAGCTCCGGGGCGCGCGTAATTTATTTCCGCATCGTCAACCGAGCAAGCACCCTCACGCACTTCGCATGGCATTCTTGCGAATTTGCAAATTTCCTAATTCGCATCCGCTGAAAAGGTCCGCCCGCATTCCGGTCCATCGCCACATCGCCACAGTTAACACCCCCAAACACACATTCTACACACACACACACATAGATACACAGTGTGCAGCATTGTCGGCCATTAATCATAATACCGGAGGCGCGGCGTCGATGTCAGGATGGCACGTGCACGCGAGGACGAGCCACATAATAGATGAGTAGCTGCGAGTTCATAAATATCTCGCGCTGAGACCCAAACAAGACTTGTGCTCGTTTTTATCGCATGCTTGTTTCCGGTGCGGGTCGCAACCAACAATACAGCGTGGTTGTCGGGGGTTGCATACACGCGGACGCGGGACGAAATGCAATTATTACTAATAGAAATGCGCGTCGGCGGGCGGAACATGAAATATTCATGCGCAAAAGTGCAGTAATGAATGCCATGCCGTGCCATGGCGCAAAATGGGAAATAGATACATTCGCTAGGTGATAAATTGCGCTTGGCTTAAAGTTCACGCTGCGGCATTTTCTACCAATTCAATAGACATTACATTACATTACAAGTACACGTATTATCTCTATGCCAACTACTAAATTAGCACTGAAATCTATATTTATAATATAAAAATAAATCGCTAAATCTGTTGGTAAGCGCATAACTCAATAACGACTAGACTAATTTGGTCAATTCTTTTTTTAAAATGTTTGTTAAAATCCAAGGATGGTTTTTACGGCGAGAAAAATTCGAGTAATTGCCAGGAAATCCCTAAGGACCGCCTTTTCCTATAGAATAAAAGTTGGCATTGAGATTCAATCATAGTTATAGTTAAATTGTTGAATCCGAGATGGCGCGCTGAAGTGCGTTATTAGCAATTTTTTAAATAATTAATTTCTTTAAAATAAAATTGCGAATCTTATTGATTGAATTGACACATAGGTACTATGTATAGAACAAGAAAGTAAAAAAAGATTACTTTTTTATTAAATACTACCGGAACGAAGTCGCGGGCAAAATCTAGTAACCATATAAAACAAAGTAGTGTTAATTACAACAATTATAACTCATGAATGGCTCGACAGATTTTGATGATTTATGATTTATTAGATTCGTCTCAGCCTATAATAAGAGAATAAGTATTAAAATATCTAAAATTATCATCTACAGGGTGTGAAATATGAGATGAAAATTGATATTGAGATATAATTATAGTAATTAAATTCAATTCAATTAAATCAATTACATTTTTACTAAAAGCTACGGGAATGAATCAACAAAAAATCTGAAACATTTTTCTTGTATAAATATTTTATGCAATTATTTTATGAAAAATCAACAATTGTGTGTAAATTGGGTTGCCTACTTGTTGGGCATCAATTAATTACAACGTTTTAGTAAAAATCTGTTGTGTGTTTGGTTGTTGTTTTTTTTTTTTGCAACGAAATGAAAACACGAATTTCCATCATCGCGGTTTATTATTTGCACACAGCCTCACGCCGCTAATGCAATTTTATTCTTACGCACTTGCCGTGGTTGCGTTTTTCATTGGCGCTCGTTACTCACCGCTCGCAATATGCGCTCGTAAATCAACGCGAATTGTAATTGTAGCACACGTTTGCGCGCACGGTGCAACGTCCGCAAATATAACGAATGCGTTCGATCAGTGGGGCAACCAGTTTTACATGTGTGCAACATATTTGTGTGTGTGTAATGTTGGTTGCATATATATGTTATACTCCACACTGTAAATACACATGGTATATATCAATTTTTCAAAAATCGCCGATGGGAGCGTCGGATGTTTGCGAACGCGGCGCGGCGACTGATGATGTCCGAGATATTGTATCAAGCAGTGATGGATTACACCTGAAGCCATACTTTTCCAATTTATCCTCGACCGCAGAGAGGGTACAACCCGTCCCGAGGGGCCCGGATGTTTGTTCAGTTATCCCTTCGCTTTTGGTCGAAATATCGAATTTCGGATGTGATCGCTTCCTTCAATTAATAAACAACTTTTTCATGCAAATTTCCATCATAATAACACTGACATATTTATATTAATATCGGAATCAAACATAACTTGTAATATTACAAAATAACATCGGGAAATAGACTGAATTAAAATGTAATTTCATGTGAACACTGGGTTTAATAGACAATTTGTTATTGCTTTTATTGATGCTCCAAGAGCGATATTTGCAATTATCAATGTTAATTTAAAATAATATTAACGTTTGAGTATGCATTTATAATGTCACGGTGCATTTTAATTAAAATGCACAAATTCACGTTTTTAATTTGAAAGTTATTTCTGAAAATTCAATCTACTCGCGTGCAGAGTATTGTAAATGTATAACAAGAGTAAACAATGATGTTATTGATGTTATTACACATTAAAATTAAATCAGTAATTTCATAAATAATTTATTAACAAAATGAAATTCTCTGTTTTGAAATAATTATTGCGTTGCAATACTAAAGACTTTATGACTTAATCACTTGTTAAACAACCTGTCATCGACCTCTCGTTCTCGTCACTATCATGATGCCATCGATACGATGATGTGATGCTCACACTGATAATTGAAAATTGATCAGCGCTCGTTACCCGCAAGCAGCATATATTAGCATATGCCGGTAGTATTTTGTGCGTTGGCCCGCGCCAGTCAAGTCCCTCATCAATTATTATTACCCCTCAAACGGTAAATACGAATTGACGCGTGCGCGACGTGAGCGTGAGCGCTTCAGGAAAGTCTCCATTTACGAATTTAGCGGCGTTTTGGGTAACTGCATCACTTCTTCTTCATTAGCGCCACTCAATATTATCCAGCTCATATCACTAGACATGTTATGAAGTGTACTTATTTAGTTACATGATATTATGTTCTATGTTGTGTTGCAACTTATAACTTATAACATGTGTAGATATATTTGATATTATATGATTATATGAAGCGTTTTGATGTCATAAGTGCGAGTGTTTACATTTTAGTTGATGTATTTTGAGTGGGGCACAAGTACATGCGAGGTTATGTTTGTGTTGGGATTGTAGAAGCTTAACTTGGCTTCAAATTCTATGCTTATACCTATGCTGTGACATAGCGGATATGTGTGTCCATTATATTATCTTGAATTGTCTTGCATAGTTAATGTACGGTTAGAATCAAACATGCATATTAGGTATTCATATTTGCTATTGGCTATTGGCTATTGCAATCCGAAAGATAAGCATTTGGTCATCGGTAATTTAGTTTCTCATTATGGATGATTATGAATAATGAATAGATTTATCAATAATTCAAGTTTCTGGGTTGAATGAAGACATTTTTCTTGTTTTGTGAAATGCGTATTGAATATTGTAGTGTAGTGTCAAAAGAATTTGATTTTTGAATTATTATTAGTTACTAGCATTTGCCCGCGACTTCGTCCCGGTAGTGTTTAATAAAAATGTAATTCGTTTATACTCTCTTGTTTTAGGCATACGAGTAGTATGTGTCAATTCTATCAATAACATTCGCAATTTTATTTTAAGGGAATTAACTATATAAAGAATTGCTAATGATGCTCTTCAACGCGTCATCTCGGATTCAACTATTTAACTACAACTATGATTGAATCTCATTGCCTACTCTTACCTTATAGAGAAAGGTTGTCTTTAGTGTTTTCCCGGCAATTATTCGATTTTTTCTTGCCGTATAAACCATCCTTGGACTTTAACAAACCTTTTAAAAAAGAATTGGCCAAATTAGTCTAGGCGTTGTTGAGTTATGCGCTTACTAACACATTTTGCAATTTATTTTTATACATATTATGAATTTTTCCGATTCAAAAAAATCTAAATTTAATACAGGTTCTAATGTACATTTAATCACTGCAGGGGAATCTCTTGATTTGAATTGTATCAGTATAATACTGATTTCATCCCCTACTTTACACCCGTAAACTATTATAATTTTGATAAATTATACTCTATAATTTTTCCTATTTTTAATTTATTTTCATTCAAAAATTCATATAAATTGGTTTTGTGGTTTTACGTAAAGCGTAACATACAAAAATGTTCTTCTATACAATATTGCCAAGATACACTTTAAAATTTGCTGTTTTACTACTCAAATATAACTAAAATTATAGCAATCCAATAAAATTGCAGCTATACTATAACTCCATGCTATAATTTAGTAAACATTACTTTATTGTGTAAACTTTTATTCAATATCGAGAATTCCAGCGGTTACCGCCCGTAGTTTCGTACATGAAATTATTCCCTCATCAAGTTTATATACGCTGGTTATTTCTGTGTAAAATATTATTTGATTAGTGCAACTTTGCCCGAGCGTCCGAAAACTATTCTCGAAATTTGGCAAACCGCTCTTTTCATTTTCCTCTAACTCCCAATCGTTAAATCGTCCCGCGCAGATTTTATGATTGGAAAATCCCGACTCGCGGAGGCAAAGTTTGAAAACTCGCCGCCTCCCAAACTCGATTCGTTCGATTCGCCACAACCATCTCGAACAACTCTCCTGCACCGCCGCTCCGAAAACCAACACAAACACACACTATATCGAATGATTGCGAACCAAAAGCTTGTATTGAATTCTTCTGCATTGACTATAGTCGCCCAATGTCGAGTTCTCGAGTACATGGCCAATTCTGATGCCGGAAAGTAAACCCTGAAAGGAACCGGTGTACAAGTACGCACACCGGGCGCGAGTATAATAGAAGAATGGCGCAATATTATCATGAACAGTTCAACAGGCGTACGTAATGCAACGCGCCACAATTGCGGTGGAATACGAACGGGTGTGTGCTCTATAGTTGTAGAAATACTGAATGCTTGCTTCATCAGTGCTCGCTTGTAACGGAATATTGAATAATATGTCGAAAACGCATTGAAAACTCCGCAACAAACTAAAACTAGAAAATAAAAAGTTTATGGAACAAAAGTTTGGTTTGGTGTATGTTGTATGCACAGGAAGTTATTTCGATGTTGGTGGTGCATTTTTTATGTATTACTTGTTACCCGCATGGTCTTTAATGATCATGCATGTGCAGGTGATAAGTGGAGCGTGCAAATGTAACAAAACTCAATTCCGCGCCGACCAGACCCTCTAGACCCTTGGAATAGTTGAGGAACGTGTGCGAATTAAATATACTGCGAGGCTATAATGCTGTATGGAAGTTTTAATTGCCGACGCGCTTATAGGTCGTTAGCGCTGAGCTGCTCAGCGCCGGCGGAAAATAGTGGAGAATGGAATAATTTCGAATAATTTCCGCGAAACTATGCGTTCCTCGTTAGGTCTATAAACGGATAAGGGTCTATGCCATGCGACAATTTTCCTGGGGCTTAAAATTTAATGGAAATTCGCGGATAAAATAAAAATCGTTGTTTTACGATTACGATTGCTAATATTTGTGTATTTTGTGTTGCAGGCATTTCAAGTGCGAGTGTTTTGCTGGCTACGAAGGGAAAACATGCTCAGAAGGGCCTAATTCGTTGTGTACGAAGAATACTTGTCAAAATGATGGAGTGTGCATGTAAGTAAACTTTATATTAATTTTTTTTTGTTTAAAGAATATAAAAATAGTATATTAAGTAACAAGTAGCTAAAGGGGGGCATTAATAACGCTTAGCCACGAGGTGTTTACGCTATTTTTTTCTACTTTCACTCTAGTTCCACGTTGCGGTTTTTGTATTTCAACTTATGTATTTTAAATCATCGAAATTTGCTCACACACTTATACAAACTGTAAGGTTATAAGTGCCATGTCGCGCGCCGGCCCATGTGACGCTTCGGTTCATATTGTACCTCTCCGATACGTGCAGCAGCAACGCCTGCTTTGACATGTTTGATTGACGTCGCATGGTATTTCATACCGCCTTGTGCTGCTCCGTAGGCAAATGCGCAGGCGCATGCCCCGTCCCGTGCATAATGCAAGTACATAATGAATATTATGTACGGCTTGGCCGTCCGTATATAAAGTAACACTTTTTGTATCTAAAAACCGTGGAAAAATGGCACTTTATAGGTGGAGGTAGAAAAACTGTATTATTTAATGGAAATTGTGAGAAATGTCTTAAAAGTGAGGTTATGATTGTGATTATAAGGTTATTGTTGATTTAATAGAAGTAAAACGTATGTCTAAGACCTTTTCTTGACCAAGAAAAGCAAAAAAAAAAAACACATAATTAATAATCGAGCGTGTCCCAAAAAGAATCCTCTGCGCTGAATTCGTAATAATTCATGAATGGAAATGTATACAGCACATAAAAAGCGGCGCAAAAGCAAACACCATATTGTCGTTTTAATGGACCCTCTCTGGACCACTACGCCTCGCAGTCGAAACATCTCCGGGACTGCGTAGTGCGTGGGATTTGGAGATAGTTATTGCAACATTTGGTGTTATTACCGTCGCTGGTGCTTCTTTTTTTTCTGCTTCGGCTTATTTACGTTGCCGGCTGCACATTTTATAGTCGCCGCGGTCGCTACCCTCGCGAATGCGCGGTGCGGACTGAGGGCATGAGAAATGGGACGCGCACGCTTTAATGGCGATCCGAAGCGTTTGCCGACGCCGAAGAGACGAAAAGTCGAAAGCGAAGCAAAATCACAGAATCAGTATATATACATATATATCTAGTGTATATGTGTATGTGAGGTGGATATGTATAGTTTTCTGTTTGTGGCGCACTTTTGTGCCGATGCTGCGGTGGGACTTTCGTCGATCGCAATCAATCAAAATGGCGACGACGGAGTGCGTCCCATTTCGGGAATGCGATTCTAAGCAACTGGGAAAAAACTCTTCGCCAAATGTTTTCCTTCATTGCAGGGCAATGATTTATACGCGATCCGGCGGGGATGTTTTAAATATTTAAAAAGTATAAATTATACCTATGCATATTATTTGCTTTCTATGTGAATTTTAAATATACGCTTCCAAAGTTTTTGGGCAAAAATGCGCTCTCGCTGTCGTATTAAAAATTTAAAAGCTCAACAAAACTATCCGAACATAAAACGTCGTCTTGCCAGCCGACGTTTCAGCTTTAAAGCGAGTCGTTTTTATGAAAAATTATGCAAAAATGCTGCGCTCCGAGGCACATTGTTGCATATTTGATTAGAGCCGTTTAGCTATTCGTCTTCTCGCGGGAGCTGCAAAATGCAAAACGCTACTAAATATCTACCCGAGAAGATAGTGAAAAATTCCCCAAAAATAAACATAAAATAGTGACAAGAAGTTGCACAGAAAAAAATATTGCGTCTTCGTGGTACTTACTGGCTGATAAGCTGGTAGTTGGTTAAAGCCGTAAAGTGTGTGTGAGCGCGAACAGCAAGACGGATTTCCCGAGCGTCTGTCATCCAATAACAGCCCGCCGCTGCTGCTGCAGACGAAAATGAATTAGAATTCTCCGGCGTGAAATTTTTCAATATCCCGGCCCGTCGTAAAGCATGCAAACGCGCCCGCATGTAAAATGCGTCTCGGCGAACTTTTTCTCTTTTTGCGAATTTTCAGCAATTTGCGCAAGTGGGAAAAATCACGACAAATTGCGACAAGTTGTGAGGCAATAAACTTTATTAAAACTTTACTAATAGACAAAAAAATAGATAAAATCGCACACAATGTGTACGGAAATTAAATTTCGTTTTGTTGCAGTTTATTGCATCTACCGGTCTTTATGTGTGTGTTATTTTTTGATTGTATAAACCAGTGCATTGTATTAAAATCGACGCGATCGACAACCAAGTTCATAACGACCGAGGCAAGTTGTGCACAAAGTTGAATAGCTTCAACTCTTTTGTGCGCTTCATATGCAAATTGCAGCGCACGTAAAATTTTATCAAGTGCAGTGGTAATAAAAGCCACCTACACCTACACAACGTGTATGTAGAAATACACGGTTTGATAAAATTTGTCGAAATTTTTTTATTATATTAATTTTTGATTCGCACGTATGTGAGAAGCGCACAGCTTCTCGGATATTAATGCGAGCGATTTGTATGTATAAACGTCGAAGCGATCTATATCCGCGTGCGGGGTGGCATATTCAGCGACGCCGAGATTTCCACGTACGCGCCGTTTTTCCGCATGCAACTGCGATAAAATTATGTCACACGCCACCGGCTGCCGCAGTTTGCGACACGGAGTGTAAGCTACTGTTTATACAGATAATACTCGCGAAAAATCTATGGGTGGAATTCAGGCGGAATTTTAAAATTTCCACACACATACACACACACGGGTATTTGTGACGCAAAGAAAAGCGGCTTGAGATGTTTCTTTAGATAAATAGATTTTAATTTTGCTAAATCAATTTCTTAGGAATTATACGTTAAATTTAGAAAAATTTGCTTTTTTTATGGTTTAACACTTTTTACAATGTTTATATTTTTTAAATGAACATAAATTATATCAAAAATGATTTATTGCAATTTTTTTAACATTTCTGTATAAAAATAGCAAAAATTTCAATCTATAATATAAAAATGAATCGCAAAATGTGTTGGTATGCGCATAACTCAACAGCGACTAGACCAATTTGGCCAATTCTTTTTTTTAAATGTTTGTTAAAGTCCAAGGATGGTTTTTACGGAGAGAAAAATTCGAATAATTGTCGGGTAAACCCAAAAGACAGCCCTTTTCTATAAAATAAAAGTTGGCATTGAGATTCCATCATAGATATAGTTAAATTGTTAAATTATTACCAAATCTTTATATAATTAATTTCTTTAAAATAAAATTGCGAATCTTATTGATAGAATAGACGTAGTCTAGAACAAGAGAGTAAAACCGAACTACATTTTTATTAAACACTACTGGCACGAAGTCGCGGGTAAAATTTAGTTTTTTTAATGAAAATAGTAAAAATTTTTATTATAAAATTTAGATTTTTCCTATAATAAGTTGTTCAAAAAGGAAGAAAAATATGACTGAATCACATAAATCTTAATATTATTAAAAATTCATTTAATTTCCGGTTTTATCGTAATAACAAAACTGAAATAAACCTAGTTAATAGTTAATAACCCCTAGCTGCTAATAAAATGAAAAATTAAATATATAATTTAAGACAAGACGATTAAATTTTTACATTAAAAAATCAATAATAGATAAAATTATACTACCCATTAATAATTAATTGTTATGTGTCCTGATAGTGCAATTCTATGTTAAGTATTAATTTCGCTTAGCTTGTGTCCGTGTCTTTGTAGCACTTACAATTTGCATGACTCGCTAAACTTTGCAGCGTGTTTAAACTTTCAACTCTAACGCTGCAATCTTAGTGCGGATTCACAGTCGCTTGTTGCTTTCATGCTCATCGCAGGCATCGGCATATAATGTAGTTTTAAACACTCGCAAGCGCAAATTTTGTTATAGTTGCGCTGAAATTAATTCGATTCCGCAGTGATGCTCATATAGTACACAATACACAAACCATTGTGTGAATGCAGCGCAAATCTGCAGTTGTTGAAGGAATCCGTCTGTGTGCTCAACGTCGCTCAATGTTACTCAGTGTAATCCAATGTTATTGTGCTTTTGTGTGCGCGTACGTTTTACTGCAAAAGTAGCACTCGGGAGGAAGCTACTATTCTGCATAACATATAAAGTTATGACCAAATTAATTTTATGAGGGCGCGCGCGTGCGTTTGCGCAGCGGCGTTAAACTTTATATACAGACGGCGCGCGGTGGAGGCGCCGGGCGCACGAGCCTCGGAGTCGTTTGCGTGCCCGGCGCCTTCGCCATTGCGCTTGTTTGAACGCGTGTTTGTTTTTGTTTGGAAAACACGAAAAGCTCGCCTGAGTTTAGTTTAATTTACATATGTCGTTTTGTAATTATATATTAGACTAAACATACAAAGCGTGGTCGGCTTTAGTTTATGTTTAATTTAATTTTATTTTATTTAAAGAGTAAGAATTATTTTTGTTTTATTTTAACGATGGAGGGTATCGGTTAAACCTTCCACGTCCTGCAAATCTCCGCCGCGGCGATAGGAAAAAAGGAAGACATTGTTTCGCAGTTTCCTGCCGATTATTTTCCTCATCCACAGCGCCGGAGGCGGCGAAACGGAACGGACGCGATGCGGCGAGCGCCCCGCTGATTTCTTAACCTATTAAATAAACGTCGGAAGTGGATCGTAATGGTCAATAAGTGTCAAATATAGATAGGGAGTTTTCCCTGCTCGGATGCTCGTATCTCAGCCGCGCGAATTCCGGTCGGATCACGAAGTTTTTAGCTAGCAAAGTGAGCGCACACAGGGAAAGTTCATGACTTTTGAGATACCGAACACAAACTTTAAGTCTATCTTTATCTTAAAGACTTTTCTCCGCTCATATATTCCAAGATAAATTTAAAAATTAACACAAGTTTATATAAATATCCAACGTTTTATTAAATTATTCATGTTATATGAGTATTGTGCGTCGATCTCAGGCTGTTTCTCTGATATTGCGCTGATGGTGCGCTCGACGTCAAACATCTCATTGAATATTCAATTTTATTTGATACCATTCCGGATGTATTTTCTGTGTTTTTGCGCGCGCATAAAATCGAAACGTTTTGAATGACCATTTGGACATGTTCGCGCACTTACCTGCCGTTACGAAGAGCGAAATCCTCGCGCTTTGTTTCATATTGTTACTGTGTGACATGTTCGTAGTTAAATTGCGCTCCGGGACGTGACTGTTAACAGCCGAGCGAGAATAGCAGTTTTTTTATTAGAAATTCTATGACACAATGGAAATATTCGACATCATTATAATTTTTTTTATTAAAAAAATATTTAAAAATAGCAAAAAATCAACAATAATAGATAACAAAACAAAAAATACAATTTAATAATTGGTGCGGATAGTGGAGTGTTTAATTTGGTTGAAAAAATATCCTCGACATAAAATAATAAATTTGCATGAAAAGAATATTTTTCTTTTCGGTTTTATTACTCGTCGATAAAAAGCGAAGGACGAAAGTTTTTGCGTTTTACTAGAAATTTATTCATTGTTGTACTTTGTGATTGTTTTGTTTTATGTCTTTTTTCTTCTTGGAATTTACTCCTTGGTGCTTAGTATTTTTGTATAAATTGAGGTTAGATTTGTGTGTGTTTTAAAACACTAATGCACGTCGAGTTGTCTACATCTGCTCTCACGATGGAAGTAATTGCGACTTTGGAGCAACTCGGAAGCGATTTCGCCATTTTTGAAAGCGGTTTGCGAGACGTGGCAAGAGCGTAGACAAATAGTCCCGCGGCAGACACAATACAAACGGTTATTTATTGCGAACCGGGCGCGAACAAATGAACGCCGGTCGCGTTCAGGTTTTCTTCGCTCTCCGAACATCTCCGTACAAAAATGCTTGCCGAGGAACGCATTGGACTTTTGTCCGCATTATGCTATGCATAGAATTCGCATTTCCTTATTTCCGGTGTGTCTATTTGCGTTCGATGCACCATCTGCACCCGCATTAAGATCCACGCTTCGTTTGTCGTCCTGCCAAGGCCGTTCGAGTCAATAATAAAATCGAGAATGCAAATTTGTCGAGATGTGCTGCGCGACGTGTCTGCGCTGACTGGGAAATGAGAAAACGAGGAAAACAACGCCGCGGCGTTTTATATTATCCGGAAAGCGAGGAATATCATAATTTAGCTTATATTCCGAGACTCGAATTCGGAACTAACCGACTTGGCACAAAGGCATTTCTCTACTACTTTGCTATACACTCTGTTCAACACAAACGCATTTATTCCGAACATATTTCAATGCAAACATACGCGCAGCTTGACAAGCTGTATGAAAATCATTTCGGCTCAAAAAGCTGCCGGAAAGCTCAATCCTCGAATGTGTAAATGGGCATGCAAAAGGAGCCTTTCTATTTTCGCATTTTCTTCGCGCGCCCGAAATAGTTTTCCCCGTCGGAGCGGCGGAGCTTCTTACTTTGTGCCGTTTGGCTGTTTGTGCTTAACGTCCATCTTCCATTCTCATCGACCCAGCGGCGCTGCGAACGTTTAAGGTTATAATTGAACTGGAAGTCAACAAAGTCTACGCTGTGCTTTTGATTCGGTGCGTTAGAGGGGACGGCAAGTGGCCTTATTCAAATACGGACATGACGATTCACAGCACGACGCGAAAAACTGCGCTTTGAGGACCATCGAGGAAGCCTTCTTCCATTCGTATTGTATTCATGCGCGAGCGTTACAACCTCGTAACGCACACTTGTCATCGGGTAATTGTGAAGCGGGTAATTTCACGGGAAAATCAACTTTCGCCACTTTCATTTCCGCAAAGTTTGCTATTCAGCAAGTGAAATATTTGCATAACTAGTGCAGGTTTTTTAAAGTTATATAATTATCTAAAGAATTATTAAAAGTGCACAAAAAAATTATAAAAACTTTTATCCTTTGTTCTCCTCTTTAAAGATTTATTTTTTCAACTAAAAGTATCCTATGTCATTTTTCATAGCAAAATTTACCTTTTACCAAAAATTGATAAAAATTACTTCATTAGTTTAGGCCTGAACGAAGCACAAACATATTTTTTGCATTTATAATTCAAGTATTAATTAAAAACACATTGTATATGTGTTTATAAATGACACCCTTTCACTAAACTTCGTCCAGGATACTAGTTCGACCATAGAAAGCCCAATTTCCGACAAGAATTCGCCCGAATCCTGGCCGAACTTGAACTTCACGAGTCCTTAACTTCTCGAAATAGATCTTGACGAGCGTGTGACGTCGACTCTCACCGCAGAGTTCTCCCATCCCTGTCGCATCCTCATCCCGAAGTTCGTTTCCACGTAATTACTTCAAAACTGAAACCGAATGTGTTTCAATGCCTTTACGTCTCCACCAGTGCGAATAAGGACTAAACTAAGGACTAAAGATTTCGGGTGTAGCTATCTCTTCTCATGCATACACTCCACCACACTGCTGAATTCACTCTGTACACCTGATTATTATTCGGTGTTTCACATCATCTTAGCCCAGTGTGTCTGCTTGGTAGGCACTAAGTCGAATGAAACCGAAACTTACTTGGCTGGTGATTTACATATTGTTCCGTTTTCCATGTTCCAGGCACGTCGGCGACTCGTCGGTGCGTTGTGTATGCCCGAATGGTTATCGCGGAGAACGCTGTGAGAAGCGAGCCGAGGAATCGACGGACGAGCAAGGTAAAAACCGATGAGATTTACAATTTACCAGTTGGTACACATGTTTCACGTCCGCCCATGAACACAAACTTAAACAAAACACGAGTTATTTTTTGCGCGTGTAAATATCAAAGTTACCGTCGTAAATTCACGTATAAATCATGGGTTTAATTGTTTGCCATGGGGTTTAATTTTAGTATATACAATGTGTTCAGAGGGCACATTAATGTAAAATAATTTTTTGTTAGAAATTAATCGTGATAGTTTAAAATTTGTTAGTTTTTACAACTTTTGTGTGCAGTGTAGATTGTGCTGGATTGTCTGCATGCAAAAACCGAACGTTTTTGATAAGGATAATCTCGGACTATTGTCCTAGGCATCCGGCGTTTTTATTGCGACTGTGCGCGACAATTCATGCGGGTCGACACGCTTCGTTTGTGCAAAACCCCGACACCCACACATTAAAACAAAGCCGGCGTCGGTGCAAGGCGAAAAAGCAAGCCGAGGGGGCGCGCATTGCGAGCGTCAACAACGTCTGTAAAATGTGTTGCGGGCACCCGGAAGACTCCCACCGTAATTACGCACTTTATGTACGTTTTTTATTCATTTGACGCCTTGACACCACTTGCACAATCACTGCTGGAATATAATTATAGTATTTTTTCGTAAAGATAATTTTTGATAAGTTTTAATATGATTAGAAGTGCTGACATAAAATTAAATAGCGATTTTTGTAAGACGCCGGAAAAAACTTTGTGGATTTTAATTAAAATTAATCGCAAGCCAATCGGGAATTTCGCCCGCGCACATTTCGGCACACGAAAACGATAAAATAACATGCGCCGCGCATTAAGACTTTTCGCAAACTTTCCATTCGGTTATCGGCAATAACACCGAAAAGACGCGGCCGGCGCAAAAGTTAAACTTAAACATGAAGTAAATACACTCAAAATTACGGCCGCCGAGAGGAAAATATCCGAGAGCAAATAATGACGCAAAGAGTGCCAAAGAAGAGAACTAATTCGTTCGCCGAGTTGCCTTTTTCCGGAGCGCAAACAATGCGAGTGCTTTGCGAGCCGAGTTAGTCCAGCCAACGCCAAACGCAATAAAGAAACTATGCAGTGCCACTAGTCGTAATTTAATTAGTCCCGAATTCATTATTCAGGTAAATAATTCATGGCGTAGTTGTACTTGAAGCACTTCCACGCCACTCGGAAAGTCAGCAAAAGTTTTATTTAACTTTAACGATGATTAGAGCGTAAGAGTTTATTTCTCCCGCTGAGATTTTGGTATTTCGGCATCTTGGCAACGTCCAGCACCAGACAGAAAATTAACGAATGCAATGAGGGCGAGAAAATTCGACTTGATGGCAAAGTTAAAGTTTCCTCAGCCGTGTGCGTTGATGCCTTTGCTCATTTCGCTGTGGTCGCGCATCCGCATCTCTGGATTGATTTATAACTTCTTAATTATAATTAATTCGAACGGCTTTCAGAAATAAATTACGATGGGTGCTCGTGTTTATTTTGCCTCGGTTCGTTCGAAGTACGCATTGTTCGCCGGCCTGCGTTGCCATCCGGGAGAAAGTCGACTCTTGACTCTTCGAGAGCTTTATAACGGCGCTCGGCGCTCCGGGGGAAAGCAGCAAACAAGCGCATAAGCGTTTTCGGCGCACCACCGCTTGTAAATAAACCAACAACCATCAATTCACTCGCAAAACGGGCACTGTCAAATGTGACGCACTTTATTACTCCTTTTTCGAACCCCCAGCGGTAGCAAAACCAGCATAAACCGCAAGCTGTCTCTTGCGCTGGATAGCCGAATAGAAAAATGAAAAACCCACAACCTTTTTTCGCATCGCCTGCAGCCGCCCGTAACAAATTCGTTGTTTTCTTCGATTTGTTGCGATGCTTTTCTTCTCTAGCTGCTAGTTTGTTTTGTATTTGTGTTTTCCTTCATTCCGGAGTAAATTCGTTTAAGTTTAAACTAAAGTGTTTATTCTCACTCTACTTTCGAGAACAATAGCAACAATGCATTGTTTGTTGTTTTTTTCGTTGCAGGGGTTCATTTTTTTTCATATACTTAGAGTCATCATGCGCCGCGTTGCTTGCGGAAAAGTTGTGAAAATCTTCAGCACAACTTCGTAATGTACTAGAGGCGAAATGCAGAACTGCACCAGTGCAGTGCAATTTTGATCCGACAATCATCCGCAAACTTGAAGCAAAAGTTTTGTTTCCCAGAGTGCGCTATGCCATCACGTGGAGGAATATTAATATATATTAGTTACACTTTGGCAAAGTATTGCATTTGTTTTAAACTTTTACGTGATAAGTTAAAATATTATTTTAGCCCTCTGGTGGGTAGTTACGAAATTAAATCGTACATTGTGGGTTGCCTACAGTATCTCAGATTTTCGAACAAAAAATTCAGATTTTGTTTTTTATTGTAATATAATTATGTAGTTTGAAGAATTTGTTGATTGCGTGAGGTTTTATCTCAAGATTAATGTCTAATTACACGAAAATGAACATCGCGCTCACTCTTTCATAGCGCCTGGCGCACGATGTGCACACGCGTAATTGTCTTCGACGCTGATGTTTCTATTACGCTCTCGTCTGACGCTAGACGTAATCCGATTTAATAACATACCGCACGATGGATAATTGCGCCATCCGCCATCCCGCCCTCGCGCGTTAAGTGCCCGCTTCCGCGTTGTTTCCAATTTCGGCATATCTCAGCCTCCGCCGCCAACTGCTTACTCCTAACATGTAGCTGGTAACATGCTTAAGGAATTATGCGCGTACGCGGTGTGTAGTGGATATATACGTGCATGTAATTTCATGCGAAAATTAGTTACGAGTTAAGATGTGTGCTTAATATGCGCCTGAAAACGCAGAAAATCGTCGACGCATATTTTGCGCTGCGGCGGAGACGCTGCCGAGTTGACGCTTGGGGGTTTGAGGTGGGTTGTTGGCGGGGGAGAGCAATCTAATCCGCGGAATGTATTCTTTCGACGATGCATAAATAATGCGCGTGCTTATTCGCATGCAAACACGGCGGCGCGCGCGCGCATTCAGCACGAAAACAAGTTGGAAGCACCGCCGCCACTGCCGCCGCCGCCGCCGAGTGTATGAGAGTGTTTGCGAAGTTGCGGTTGCACCCCGCGCAACGCAATTTATACGGAATATTAAAGCGCAGAGGGTTGCGCGACGTTTGTACTAGCGCCGCCGGAATTGGAGTCGGAGCCGAAGAACGAAGCATTCGCTATTTTTGTAACAATAATTTTCCGGCGCAGACTTATTAGGATTTGCTTCCAAGAGTTCCATTTCTGCGCGCATTCTGTGTACTACGTGGCGAAAAGGGAGCGAAGGGAATTGCCAAATTTCGGTGCGAAACAACAAAACACGAAAAGAGCCTGAACCCCAGCCAAGGCGTATGCGAAAGTTTACTTTTCTACCCCCCGACGTCCTTAGTCATGTTTAGATCTGATGTTGCTCCGCCAGCAGACGCAGGTGATTGTTGAGCACCTCGAAGTACACGGCTGAGTGTGGCGCAGGCTGGCAATAATGTCGAAACGCCACCAGAACCAGCGCCATTCATCCAACCACACCAACTTTACTCGGCGCGCAAAACGACCGAACGGCAAACACTCATTTCTTACGCCCGCAATTTCGAAACGTCAGTCTCAAGAGTCATAATTAATTTGAGATTTCATGAACCTTATTCAAATGATTCAAATCTTGCTTTAATTAGTGTTCCATATATACTTATATGGGTGTTTCTTTGTACCGCACACAACAATATTATGCTGAAATTGCCAAAATATGGCGCACGTCACGCTTGAAAGTGGCGATACATGCATGTTGGGTTGCGCACTTTCGCAGCGTATAAATAAAGCGCTCTCCCGGCGGGCGTTCGCGCTGCTCGCGATTAGTATTCAGGTCTTTTGCGGGGTTTCCTTCTTTCATTACGACCATTACGGGGATAACTGAAGTGGGCGTTTGAGGTAATACACTAACCCACGAAGTGTGCTCGCCCTCTGTTCTCGCACACATACCAAGTTACATTCGAGCCGTTTACACTGTGGCTACCTACGCAAAGAAATAGTCTAAGAATGAGGTTAGGTTACAGTGTGGGTGTAAAATATAAAGCACGAACCACGCCATGCCAAAGACTCATTCTGTATTCAGCGCGAGAGATGAGCAGCAACCTCAAGGAGTTCATATTTTTGTTAATTTTCCGTTTGTTGCCGCAGCGTGTGCATAACAAGTAACAGCAATCCGTGAGGTGCAGTAGACGAACTCAAAACGTGAAATTGCACCCGCTGTATGAATATTACTCTATATTATACTATATGTGCACAATGTGAAATGAAAGCTGATATCACCATAGTTTTCTTGTTGTGATACTAGGTTTTGAATTCTCATTTGCATTGCAATCGCACCCGCATTGAACTCGTCATGGTCAAAGGCCATCACACGTGAGTGCGCATAGCTTTCCAACGCATACAATGCAATCCTTCCAATCTGGAACAACGCCTAGATTCTGATAAACTGGATGCGCTGAGGCGTTAATACATCTCCGCTCACATTGCAATCATAAAGCCATCAAATGCAACATTGCAATTGGATGCTTTGCATTTTGAATGGCATTAATGCTCGTCTAGTAACCCACGTTAATTAATGAGAAAGTCGGACTTAGTCTTGGATTTAATTTAAACGATTCGCTTTGATCGTGCTCTTGAACTCTTGTAGTTTGGCCGAAAACGCTGACAGTTACGAGAAAGGTGGAAGTTCGTCGGAAGGTGGATTTGAATAAGCGGCCGGGTGGACTTTGGACTTTCAAAGGACCTAATTTATACGTTTAATAATCCTACCGGAGGGAAAGCTTGCGCTGCGCGTTACTTTGCGCAATTCGAAACGACAGCGCCAGAAACTGAAATCTTAAAAAATCCCTCGTGTAATTTAATAGTCTTTTCGCAATATTTCAAAGAGCTAATTTACGCAATTGCCATCAAAGCCAAACCCCAAATTATAAAAATTAAATTATTTTGTTTTATATTTAATTAAATAATGCTCGCATTACAAAAACAATTTTTTGCTTAATTTAAATACTTTACACGAAATATTAGCATGCAGTAAATTTTAATTTCAATTCATTTTATACTTTGTGATATGCGCTACCCGGCTGAATTTACATTGTTTAAATTTGCAGTAACGAACTAGCTTCCAACGCAATAATAAACGTACAATATTTGCACGAGCGCGTAATTACTATTAACAATTCAAACACAATTTACTGCAGTAAACCTAACAAGGGAACAGCCAACAATAATATTAAATCTAAAGTTTAGCAAAACGTGACTAAAAAATCGCGCCGCTTCGCAAACACAAATTATTCAAACGTTTGACGCAAGTTTACATCGGATTAGTTTAAAGTTTCTCACTTATTCTTGTGTATATATTATTTATAGTTGTTTTTTAAGGGATTATCATGTCTGAAACTTGGATTATAAACTAGTGTTGGGTAAAACAGTTGAATAATCAAATTGTTTGGGTAATCGTACTTCGCATGTGAAGATATTGCAGATTGATGTAATTTACTCGTCGACATGTCAAAATTTAAATCAGACAAGTCAATTAATGTGCGAGACAAGTGAATTTCGCATCGCCGCGATTGTCTAATTGGATGTTAGACGCCAGTGCGGTTGCCTAACACGCGTCTTGGATACACTTGTTAAGTAGGGTAGCAGTAGCAGGGTTGGGTAGCTCTCAGCGTATGCCACCCGCACGGCATGCGACGCACGCAATTCTGCAACTTGTACACGCTCGAATCACGCTGCTGCGGAGGGAAAACGTAAATTAAATTAGCCGGTTGGAGCTCGGCTAAACGGTAAATTAAATGCGAGGAAAACATTCGAGAGGCAATTTGGTTACATTGCGCGTTTGCACACGCGGTGAGCATCACTACACTAGTAGTGCACCTCGAGTGTTTTCCGGCTTCCTGGCGTTTTGTAATTCTCTATAAATATTAAGCGTGTTTTAATTCGGTTTCCTGTTACACGGGTAGTTTGCGAGGTATAAAACTTACGAGCGTTTCCACCCTGCGTAAAAATTGAGCGCGCCGCTAAGTGGGAAATACGTTTCCGGTCGAAGCGGCAATAAAACCGCCGACTTTACAGTCGCCGACCTCTGTCATTAGTCGGCGGCGGCGGCATCCAACGTGCGCGAAATTGGTTAGCGCCGCCGCGTGTGTTCGCAAACATTCAGCGAACGTTTTGTTATATCGCACACTTTGCATGCGTTTTAGAGTCGAAATGTATAAATATAAAGCACACCGAACGCGTTTAATTATCTAATGAAGTAATGAAGTAAGTTATAACTTTTAAGCGCGTAACAAATTAAGCCCGTTGACTGTTACTCAAACCGCTCGAAACTTAATGCGCACAAAAGCGAAGCGTAAGCCCATCACGCCAGGGAGCACAAAAGAGTGCCGAAGGGTTATTAACTAACCGCACACCACCGGCAACCGGCGGCCACAAATGCCACAAACCTCCAACCGCGCACAACGGCCAACAGCAGACGCAAGAATATTATAGTGGTAATAAAGTCCAAGCGCGCGTAAAACCGAAAAAGTGCCTTCGAAATGCTTCAACTTTTAAAAAACTCTTCACCATCCTCTGACATTGTATAGTTCATTTTATCATGTTTCATATTAGTCTTAATGAATGCTTAAAACTTTTCTCATTCCACTCTCGCACCGCAAATGTAAAACATTTCCGCTTTTGTTCAAACACATTTCTTGTTGCAGGATGTGAGCGTTGTTTTGTCACTTGTCCTTTTGATGGTGTCATGGCGAACGCCTGCAAGTGTCCCGAAGGAAAAAACGCAACACTTGGCGATGGTAAGTGCTGAACACATTGTATATTCCACACTTTTAGTCGATACGGCTTCCGGTTTGAATTAGACATCAAGGGATATTTACCTGCAGCCGGAAATTGTAACTTAATACCGAACAGGAAGTAGAATAACTCATGCTAACAAGTGAATAGTATCGGAGAGCTTCCAGCGTTTTAGCATTGTTTAAAACACCCACTTCCGAGTTGAAGTGAGTTAAAGACGTTGTCTAATTATAAACTTTCCCGGCCAATTCGTATCCGTCTTCTTCGACACAATACGCTACGCGTTGAAAGTTTTATTCAAGTTAGCCGCCTTGTTACATATGTTAAATTTATAAGTGTCTAAACAAAACTCTTTTCAAACACTCTGTATAATAGCTTAGTGGAACTTAGTTTGCAACAGCGCTCATGTTGCTTGATGCAACAGTTAAGAATGTGTAACTTTCCTCCGGTGTACAACGTAAGAGACGTGATCGTAAATACCTTGCACGTTTAATTAGACTTTAATAATTACGCGTCGTTATTCTGATAATTGGCAATTACATTTTAAAACCCGCGCGCGCATACATTTCTCTCTCGGGTGTACGCTCGGCAACCAACACAACAGGCATAACTTACCGACCAGCGGCGATTAGCAGGCATTTTCATTTTCGTTTCCTGCCGACTAAGGGGAAAATTTTATTACGCCGAGAGCGCTTGATTACACATTGAATATGTTTGCGCGGCGCATAATAACGATCTCGGTTATTATCGTTGTTTTCACAGTCTATAAACACTACACTTAGATTGCGATTAGGGACACGATGATAAAATAAATATAATTTTTGCGCTTTTGGGTATAAAACATTCAAGTGGAAAATTTAATCTAAGCAAATCGGAATGTCGTAACGTAAAACTGCAAATGACAAAAATATATACGGTATAGGCTATTAGTAGGTAGATGGCGCGCTAGGAAATGTAGTTACATAGCGCAGGATTTCATTATCGTAATGCGGGCGTGCGTCGATGCGATGGCGGCGAGAAAATTGGCAATGCACTGCGGGTTAATACCCGCACAACTAGATTTCAGCAGCAATGGTGGTGATTGGCGTAATTTTCACAATTTCCTAAAATTAACCGTCACACATCCAATTTGCACTTCACAGATTTCTATATGCATGTATTTTTAGTTTAAAGTTTAAACTCACAGGTGGCACCACTGGTGAAATGTATGTAATGCAGGTGTAAATTAATGCGAATGCGCTGGGTGCTAATGCGACGACGCCATTAGCTTTAGTTTGTAGTTTAATGAGCGCACGCTTGCTTTGTACCTACGTGCGGCGCTTTACCCGCCTCGTTACTTGCTGCAATCGGGGATAAAACTTGTAAAACCACACCAGCTAAGGTGTTTCCCTTTCTTTATTTACCCTGGCGCTGCGGTCGTGCGGCGAACGCTAACGTTAACTGCTAACGGCGTGAGCGGAGCAACGCCCGAAATGTACAAAGTGCCATCAGTGAGGCGGCAAACTGCCTGGCAGAAGAAGAGATCGCACCGACACGATCGCACTGTTATTCTGTGTGTTACGCTGTGGCCGCTGTACGAAAACGACGCGCAATGAATTTTATTCGCTTTTATTTTTGCGCTTGCTTTACGACCGCCTTCGGGAGCGGCGGAGGGACAACTCTTGTTCTACGCTCGGCGGACCACACGCAATTTTAAATAAAAAACGAATAATTGTTATGCGCCACAATAGGAAAAGTTGAAAGTTAAATGTTAGAATGAGGGTTGGATATAACCGCACCGCCTCCGGCATGTTACACATACATTGAAACATTGGCGCATAAAAAAGCTGTAATTTTTTTTAGGCAAGTGCAAAGTAAATCTAGGGTTTCTTGGCATTTGTGTTGCCTATGTTTAGCAATCGGTAAAGATTAAGCGCTACTTTCATGTGAGATTTCCGAACTTTATCGGCGTGAAACGAATTGCTAAATGTAGCGGCGCCGAAATTCTCATCAGCTTCAATCGTCTGTCCCGTGCGTCATTTTTGCGCGTAAAATGTCGCGATATATTTTGTCGCTGCAATCGTTGGTGTAAGTAAGGTAGACTATAAGTGGCTTTCAATGTTTGAGCGCTACTCGAGCATGCTGCGAATTTACGACCGTGTAGAGTCAACCACCGCCCACCGAGCAGGCGTGTGTTGTGTGTGGCGGGCATTTCTCAAAAGTAGCTACCTGTGTGTATCAGTAGGCAACCCATTCAACACGCCTGGAAGCTGGAAGAATTTATCGCATCCCGGGCGCGATATTTCAATAACAACACGTATAACACACACGCGCCCGCCGTCTAAGGAGCAAAAAGGACCTCGGGACGAGGGTTGAAAGTCTAATTTACTATATATGTATATATTATAGTGTGTGCGGCGTCGAGTGGGTTGCCTACGAGTACATCGCGTATCGCTCTTTCGTCGTGCGTTTCGCACCCCGTAGGAAATCACAAGACGTCACATAAATCAAACGCAAATTCACCTTAACGCGCACCGCCACCACCGCCGGCGCCGGCGAAACATAGCGGGAAATATGCGGGCGAATATATGCGATGCGAAATTGTCGTCGTAACTCATACGCGCGCGCGCCCTGCGACGACCGAACGATATTTGCCAAAATTAAATCAATTTCGCATATAGGCCCGTAACCAACCACTACGCTTATACCCACTACCCTTATATGACACCATCGACGCGCTTGCTTACCGCGAGGGAAAATATTTACGAATGTTGGGCGTTTATTTACGCGTCACAATCGACTGCAATACACGTTGATATTAATTTAAGCGAATTTCGATATTTCGGTGAGTGTTATTTATTTTAGGATTTGACAGTGTCGCCGTGCGCGAATGAATGGCAATTGAAAACAATTAACGCGAAACGCTGATAGAAAAACAATTTATTACGATAATTAATTTCGACTAATGGTCGCTTTCGACGGTGTAAATATTTAATTTGCTGCTCGGGCTTAATCTGCAAGTGTCATTTCATATTATTTGTTTGTGGGAGATTTATTAATATGAAAAGTAATTAATCGTACGGAATAATAGTAAATGTATAATTCACTTGTGATAAATAAAAAATATATATAATATAACAATGAATCCCAAAATCTGTTGGAATGCGCATAACTCAACAACGCTTTGACCAATTTGGCCAATTCTTTGTTTAAAACGTTTGTTTAAGTCCAAGGATGGTTTTTACGGCGAGAAAAGTTTGAATAATTGCCGGGAAAACCCTAAAGACAGCCCTTTTCTATACTATTAAAGTTGGCATTGAGATTCAATCATAGTTATAGTTAAATAGTTGAATCCGAGATGGCGCGCTGAAGTGCATTATTAGCAATTCTTTATATAATTAATTTCTTTAAAATAAAATTGCAAATCTTATTGATATAATTGACACATACCTACTATGTCTAGAAAAACGAATTATATTTTTATTAAACACTACCGGGACGAAATCGCAGGCTGGTAAAAATATAAATTTTAGAAATAACAAAAAAATTGATAAATAGTTGAAAATAGTAGATTTTGGTAAATAATTTAATATACTTTGTTCTGAAAGCATAAAATAGCCCGCAAAAATATCTCACAGATGACGATGGATAAAAAAAACATATAGTCATTGTTCTTCTGCGAGTGTAAAAATTGAATGACGAACAAAAACGTTCTGATAATTGTTTTCCGGCAACGCGCACGAAAATTTTAATCTTTTGTTTTGGCGTCCGAGAAGAAAAACGCGTAATCTCGATAAATCAAGAAGCGCGCTCCGCGGACGATCATGAAGCGTCAATTAATCTTCGCCAAAACAAACAGACGCTGTTCGAACGCACAAGTTTTATTTCGTTTCCATTTTTCTATCAAAGCCATCCAGGCGAAAATCACCACCACGCCGTGCAGCTAGCAAAGTATTTTAATTGAACCTTTTATGATCACTCTTGAGTTGTGATTTTTGATTCCGCGCAATATACGCACTGCATTTGCCGTGAAACAAAAGAATCCACAATAAAAGATATGATTTCATGCATGAAACAGAATAATGGTATTATTTCGCGTTTGGGCGAGAGGAAAAAATTCGCTGGTTATGACCGAGAGCGTGAAGCTTATTGTGCGTTTGTGATACAATGACGAGGCATGTTTTCGAACACATCGTTAACGTCCGCAGCGCTCGGCGAAAATTAATTGTCTCTAACCGCGAAAACGTTTTGCGCTCCATAACCCCCTCGACCATTGAGGACGCGCATTGCTGGTCGCCTCGCCTCCATCACGTGTAGACTCTAGGTATTCAATAGTGCGGGGACGACACGTTTGACTGAAGGATCACAAGCAATTATTACATATGGAACTCGTGATTTGAATGAAGTGCCATCGTGCGAAATCGTTTTCAATTTTGATGATTTGTAGCTTCATCGACGAGTGGTGATGATTTCATATTCACGTGCAGAACATTTGTTTTTTGGTTCTGTTTTTTGCGCCAGGAATGTATTCATTTTCCCATCGATATTACAATAAAATTGGTTGCATACAACATTTTTCCGTGATACAAGTGAAACTCAATAATCCGCTTATTCGACATTGATGTCTATTTTTTGGCCGGGAAAACAAGGTATTTTTAACGAATGCTAAGCTTGTCAATGTAGGCCGATTTTTAGCCTGCGCGTGTTCATAATATATTTATGATATTATGCACAAAGTCAACCTGAAACTTGAAGGGAATTTTCATCCGAAAGTTACACAACTCAGCGGCGGCACGCAGAAAAAGACGAAAATACGCAGCCCAATTTGTAAAGTACTTAAAACTTGTTTCCTTGTGTCACAAATTTGCATAATGAAATTAAAGTTAAACAATTTAAATAAATTTAAATACATACAAGCCGGTGATAATTTCGAGAAAACATAACTTCTTATTTTTCCATATTTTTATATTATAGTAACTAAGTTATTTATTTTTGCCTGTAGATACTGTCAAGTAACTAATTAGAAATAAAAACCTGTCAAAAACAAATAATTGAACCATTAATTGACTTCAGAATACTTACAATATCTATAATATAAAAATGAAACAACAACTGATTTTGTCTGTTGGTAAGCACATAACTCAACAACGTCTTTACCAATTTAGCCAATTATTTTTTTAAATATTTGTTAAAGTTCAAGGATGATTTTACGACAAGAAAAATTCGAATAATTGCCAGGAAAACCCCAAAGACAGCCATTTTCTATAGAATAAAAGTTGGCATTTAAATTCAATCATAGTTATAGTTAAAAAGTTGAATCCGTAATGGCGCGCAGAAGTGCAATATTAGCAATTCTTTATATAATTAATTTCTTTAAAAGAAAATTGCGAATCTTATTGATAGAATTGACACAAACTATGTCTAGAACAAGAGAGTAAAAACGAATTACATTTTTATTAAACACTGCCGGGACGAAGTCTCGTGCAAAAGCCAGTAAAATATTGATTTATTCAGAAACTTTAATTTAAAACAAAAACACAAAAAAGTTCAATTTAATCCTTTTTTATTTATATATTTTTAAACTTTTAGAATTTCAGAAAGTTCCCGAATACAATGAACATTATTAATGATTGTTTACTCTGTCGCTGCCATCCTGCCATTTTCTCCGCCCGGAAAATTCCAATATACATCAAGCTCGACGTCTCGAACGCAACATGCACACACCCACGCACCCACACACATATATATATGTATAGGTCGTGTGTTCATTTCGGTGTAAACTACCTGCTGGGCGGCAAACTGCAAACAGCAAACCGTAAACTGCAAACAAAACAAGTGCAATTCGTGAAACAAGCGCGCCGAGCACCGCATCAACACACAGAAGTATAGAATGACGCGAAATTTGCCGTGTTTGAAAATGGCCGGCAAACCGAAAACCGTGTGTGCAGGAGTCAACGTCAACGATTTATCTATTTTAGCGTTCGTCGGTGCGCGGCTTGTTACAACCCGTTACAATACAATCAGATCAATTTGATTTTCACGTAGTGGAGTTTTTGCACGCGGTGGATTCGTTCGCGTTTTTGGATTTTTGAATGTTTGCGACGATTGAGAGCTGCCTGGCATTCATGTTCCGCGCGCTCGCGGAAATTTATGCGTCGTTGGGAAATTTCGGTTTTTATTACATATATATATTTGTCGCGTATCTGGCGTGCGCGCGCGCGTTTCACACAAATCACTTCCGTTACATATTCCAACCTCCCCGGATGTGCGCGCGTACTTTTATCGTGCGGAAATTTTATATTCAAATTATCACAAATTCCGATTGCGGGCAAAAAAGAATTAAATTTTTTTATGGTGAATACTCGTTACTCACAATCGGAACTAATTTATTGATGGTAGGTTATGTAAATTTTTGAGGTTATAATAAGATTTTACAATTTTTTTACCTTTAGAAAGGCAGTGAATACTGCTGTAAAAGTAAAAAATACGCAGAGGCACTTAGAGCACCGTTTGCATTAATTTTTATTGCGTGTTAACTTCAGCATGCTTCAATGCCTGCGCGTTAATTTAATTCTAATGAGAATTCATATTCATATGCACATGACTCATAAAGTACAAAGGCGTCACATTTTCAAAAAGCACGAATAAAAAATCATTTTTCTCTCATCTTTCTACGCCCGGCCGGTGAATGAACTGTAGATATACGTTGTACTAAATTGATCTATACATAATTCATCAACGTCTGCAACCAAATATACAAACTCAAGGTGAATGCGTGAGGTCTTAGCGTAATCCTGGTTGTCTACGTTAATAGCCTGAAAAGACTATTCCGTTTGCAGCCGGCCAAGGAGGACGCAAAATGCAAATGAGAAATATGAATTGCTGCAACATTCATGATTAAGTACGCCGAGCCTGCTAGTGCGCTGCGAGCTAATTAGCATATCAGGTGAATTACTCGCTCACTATGCATCCTGTGATGCATATTAGATCCGAAGCTTCCAACCGTCAAATGAAACTTTGCTGAAATTATTTATGCACGATTGGGTGGTTTATGACGGCATCTGTCAAACACACACCCAACACATTAAAATCTAAACGGAAACGAAACTTAATTATGTTAATGGTTTTAAATGAACTATTGATGAGTACTCTATTATTAACACCATTGACACGTTAATGCACTTAAATGATGCATGATTAAATATGTGACGTTTGGAACAATGTGCTAATTAAATATCAAACCACCGCAACAATCAAAAATCTGCACGGGATTTCAGTTAGTGCATTTAATTCCGCTCGTATTTATTTTGGCATCGGGCAATGATCGGCTTGAATGCGTTCGGCGAAACGCGCGAGTTGTAAAGCTATGCATATAGACGCATCGCAATTAATTGTTTGCTCTCATCACGGAGCGAGTGTCGGCGAAAGAGAATGCAGAGATGCGCTCCACGCGTAAATCCAGCGGCATATCCGCTCGAAATTGTAGAATTACAGTGCGCAAATCTTTCTGGCAGGCAGCAAACCTGGGCACGTGCGTTAATCAACGCATCGAGGGTGGAGATGATTGAGGGAATGTGAATCTATTGCAATTAATTTGTGTAGTCATTGTTAGGAGTAATTTAAATGAATAAATTTAGTCAATAGATAAAGTATTAAATTATTGATATTTTTATATATATTAGAGTTTTATTGAAAATTCATTTATGCATCGATAATATAAAATGAATCGCAAAAACTGTTGGTAAGCGCATAACTCAACAACGCCTACACCAGTTGGGCTAATTATATTTTTAAAATGTTTGTTAGAGTCCAAGGATTGTTTTACGGTAAGAAAATTTTGAAAAATTGCCGGGAAAACCCTAAAACTGCTCTTTTCTATAGGATAAAAGTTGGCATTGAGATTCAATCATAGGTATAGTAAAATAGTTGAATCCGAGAAGGTGCGCTGAAGTGCATTATTAGCAATTATTTATATAATTAATTTCTATAAAATAAAATTGCGAATCTTATTGATAGAATTGATACATACTATGTCTGGAACAAGAGAGTAAAAACGAATTACACTTTTATCAAACACTACCGATTCGAAGTTGCGGGCAAAAGCTAGTTTTATAATAAATAAAATATTGGAGTAAACTTTACTTGAAATAGCAGAAAACTCAAGATTTAATTGAATCATTGATTTTATAAAGTTGGAAGTTTAGTTTTTATTTGTTTTTGAGTTTGAAATTTTTTTCCAGCTTTATTATTAAGTATTGTTTTGCGGTGATATTTAATATTTTTAACTTTACCTCCCGGGCAGGTTTGTAAATTAAAATATCAATTTCCCGTACTATTTATAGTTTGCAATAAAGCGGAGTATAATGAGAAAAATCTTCTTAAAAACAGCAATTTACTTAAAAATTGCAGCATAGTCTTCTCAGAATAGACTTATTTTACTTTTCTTGGCTTTCTCAAAAATTGAATATTTTTAAAATTCTTGCTAAAATAAACGTGTTTTGAGAGTCACTTCAAAAGACGTTTTATTATAAGTTGTTTATTTTGCTCTCATAAATGACTAATAATCCGGAAACAAAGTTAACCTCATGATGAAAATTATGTGACATATTGCTCACTGCATACGCAACATGATGGAAAGTGCCTTCCAAAATCCAAACCCCGTCAGCATGAATAAATAATAATTCATCGTTTCCGGTAACTGTGAGGGCACCCTAACGTGCGCACTGCCTTTGATTTTCCTTTCATGCATTCCATCAGCTTTTTTGTATATTTATAAAGGACCCTCACGGTTTTCAATGGCAGACAAACGTTCATTGAAGTATTGGAATGTAAATATTTTTATTTCAAGCGTTTTCCGCTTTGAAATACCTACAACAATAAACTGCATTCACATGAGACGAATTTATTTTGGTTACAGGAACGATAATTGGCTACAGTATGAAATTGAAAATGATCCCGCCGTCGAACGTCAAAGGCAATCAGATGAAAACATATTTGGAAACACATGTGAGTAGTAAATATTTTATTCTGCGTAATATAATTTTTTATACAAATCTTTAACGCATGCGACAATAAAAAATCTCATGTAACACCGTGTCAAACGTCACGCGCGTTGCGAAATGCTTTCGTGCGTTTAGCGAGCTTCTCGGGAGGCTTTTGCCCGAGCACGTAGCCGCCGTAAAGCGTCCCGCGCCGGGACCGTCGGTAATTAACGAGGTCGCATCGCCCGGGGAGTAGTAAACAGAAGCGGGAGGCACGACTCATGCTTTCGCTTCTACTACCCCGCTAGTACTTCTAGTAGAACGCACCCGTATGACCACGACCACCAGTGGACATGTCCGGCGCTTGTAACCTGCAGGACTTCCTCTGTTACGAGCAAAACACACAACAGGCTCACTTCGTTTGGCAAACTCATAACCTCACAGTCCATATTACACGCCAAAGGGATATTTTCGGAAGGAAATTTTCCATATGTACAGACAAATAACACTTTAATCATCATCTTTGTTTGTTTCAAGTTGGTTGATTATTTTATTCTTCGAAAAAAAAAAACATCAATCTGAAAATGTTTTTCTCGTTGCGAAGAATTATTCAATTACAAAATGTTTTACCTTGCTTCCGGTTGGATTGCTCCCCGCCGGGTCGTGATGAAATCGATACGGTGTTGTGTTGCACAGCGAGTTTTTAATTTCGACATGTGTGCTTTCTCAAGTGCGATCGCGTTTTGATTGATTGCGCGCCGTGTGCGCACGTTTCCTTTGTTTTCCTCGCTGCGCAATAATTTCGCTTGCACCACTTATGATTGCAAATTGATATCCGAATTGGCGAGCTTTGTTCTTGTCCAAACGTCCGAACGAATTAAAGCTCAGCTTTGTCTGCTCATATGTACTCAGAATAGTCAGACTAGAAAAAGCAGCGCAAAGAATTTCACTCTACTGGTGAAAAATCAAAGCATTGTGCGCGTTTTATCCACGCTCGGATTTATCACGTTTTATTAATGCTGGCTGTCGATTTCCGAATCGGCGCCATCTCCACTCGTTCGCTGCTAATGCGCGCGTTTTGAATACTTGGTCCTTTTTTCTCCCTGGCAAACCTTTTTCGGCGCAATGTGAGACCGTCTTCGATCATCGGCATTCACGCTACTCGCAAAGATTCCCCACTCGTATCGTAACTTTCCTTTCGTTTTCTTCACGTTCTTGTGCGTGGTGCGTGTTTATGACTTCACTGAAACGCACGACGTGCCATTGAAAATGTGCGCAATTTTCATCCGCTTGCATGTTTCATATCCTGTCACAGTTTTTCTTTTTTCACCTCGAAATCAAAAACTAAACCACCCACAGCGCGCATAGCAATACTTTTTTTGGTTAGGTAAAGTAAGGTTATGTTGTATGTCACGCACACATTGTTGCCGTAAAAATCACTGAAAACGTCTCGTTTGGTTACAGCTGGCGCGTGTTCTTCGCGAGGCAGCGAGTCTGGAAGAAGCGCACGTCATTGATTTTCAGTAAGTGACAAATTTCCTTCCTCTTTGCGCCTTTCGGAGCGTTAAAAAACGACGCTATTATGCAAAGCTTCGACCTAAATACTTTGCCGAAAAGACAATAAAACTTTTATTCCGATCTTTAACCTCACTTTGCGACTTTCGACGCATGACAGCGGGTCTCAGCGCAACCAGGGCGCAAAAGGTCTCCGCGAATCGTTTTGGGACCAACTATAACATGTTTTTTTGGTTTCGTTCAAGATCGCAGACGCATCACGTCAGATTGACGCTGCAGGTGGCGGCCGGCAGGAAGGACGAACGCCGGCTCAGATCCATCACCTCCAAGTGGGTCGAGCGGGGCCATGTTGGCAACATCAGTTTGGTACAACCCACGCCGGCAATCTTATTAACGCCGCTGACTTCTTTCTCGCATCAGGTGAGCACCCGAAACGATTTAACACTGATAACCTCAAAAGTTATTAGTTTTCAAAGTTTTTACGCCAACACGGTGACAACTTGATGTGATTGCACGTGCCACACGTAAAATTTGTTCCTGTCGGCTGGCGATAAATCATCGTGTGCTTTAGACTCGGGGATTTATGTCAGTGCTAGTCTGTATTATATCAATTTCGCGCAGTAAACCACCGCATAGGGATGAGGAAGCATGAAGTAAATAAAAATTTCCGTAATAAATTCGGACAGGTCGCTGAACGTTTGTTTATATCCTACATACGTGCATACACCCCGCGTGCTACGTCATATAAAAATGATTTATGGAGAGCCAACAGTTTTATTGCATCGTAAAGAGCGCGCACGCCGGGCCACTCCGGACGGTTTAATTAAGAACATTAATATTTCATTTGGAAATATCATTTACCTGTCGAATATTTTTTTTAAATTCAATGTAGGTATTTATTGAATAAGTCGTCGTTTTAGGGTAATAAATTTTGTTTTATGAAATATTGATTGATTGTTATGCGCGGTCGTTGGCTCGATTTTTATTAGCCACAAACATTGTGTGAGCTCCGCATGTTATATTGGTTGCATAACTAACACACGATTCGTTTCCGCCATGTCCGCCGCGCTGCCTCCATTCTTCCTAATTCACGATCGATGCTCGAATCTCTGATATTTCGATATTTTCATGCACGCATCCAGGCTTAACGATTCGCTTATAGATATTTTTTCCCATTCTGGGTAGGCGTTTTGCGGTCGGTTGGCGCGCGCGCCGTAAAAAAACTTTTCGTATATAGAAAACATCAAAAGATATAAAAGTTTTTCGGTCTCTCGCAGATGTCACGCCGCCTCACACCATACCATCGGCCTACCCCAAACTGGAAAATCCTTTTTTTTTCTCTCTCCTGCGTGCCGCAGTGCTTTTTCGGCTGATATTTTTGCGGGCGGAGAACTTTATGAAATTCCAGTGATAATTTTACTTCGCTTTTGTCCTCAGTTGCGTGTTGTTGGTGTTTTGTGTTTTTTGTTGCTCCAACAAGCCGATTGCTCCCAATTGAGTTATTTCGACATTTTCGCTCTGTTGTGATATTCGCTGCTCGCTGCGCGCCAAACTCATTCAGCACACATCGTTGATAAATATACACTCGCGTTGTAGAAACCGGACAAATTAGTTTATAAATTAATCAATATGCGCATCAACGTCGGTCGCACGAGTGTGTAGTTTCGCAATTAGCGTTCATCGTTTGAGGGCGAGTAATTAACCCCTCTGACCGATGCGACGCGGTTTGCTGCGAGCAAACTCATAATACGTAATAACTCCCTCAACGACCAGTAGGTATTTATTTAATAGGTGTGTCAAAGCAGCAATTATTTCCGAGATCGTTGCTCGATGGCTGGTGGTGGAAGTAATTTTTCTAACGTAAACTGAAATTTTTCCAGGGCATAACGGTGCATCCGACGAGTCAGATCCACGCCAGCGAGGATTTCGCATTGTCCTGCACGACAAGCTTTGCGAACAGCGACGCTGTTTCGGCGGCGTCCTTCCGGTGGTTCAAGGACGACCTCTTTATCAATGTCACAGCGCCAACCAGGCAAGTAATAAAGATCGTCCTTGCCAGCCAGACGCGCCTGGATCCAGCCTGCTCTCCCAGTTTCGTTCTATTTAAAATTTATTTTCGCACAGCCGCGGCCGCAAACGTGTCATAATTTACTGCCCGAAAAAGTCTGCTCTGCTGGAGGAATAAAAACACCGGGATAAAACTTAACATCATTAACGAGCTTCCACGGATCGCAATCGGGATTGAGATTGGGAAACTGATTGATTGTGTAAATAGGCGACATTAACGGTAATCGAGGGCGCGCTCGTCGAAGCGAATTTATATCGACGCCGCAACCGAAGCGATTTTATCAACCCTCGGGACGCAAGCAAGCGAGCAAACGGGAAAGAAGCAAAAAACTAGTAAATCGGACCCTTTAAATATTTGCCTATAAATCGGTTTCCCTCCCGGGCACACGCGCTTTCCTCTGACATTCCGACCACACTTTCCTTCCTACCCTCGTTGCACACTCCCCGGGACAACTGATGTATTTATTAACATAACATCTAAATTTAGAGTGCCGTACGCGTTTTAAATCGTAGCCAACGACTTTATCCAAAGCGGCGCGTAAATTTTTCCCTTTGTACAACTCGATTTTTGAGTGGATTTAATTAATTAATTAACAAAACCGACGAAAGCAATTTGCATGTGTTTAGCGATGCGAAAAGTCGTCGTCGACGTTTAATACTTCCTCGGGTAATTTTCAGCGGGTTGACCGGCGCGTACAATTCTTGCCCGAGCGAAAATTTCCCCGAGGACCCGCGCTTATTACGTGTACATCGGGCACCCGATAATTACGTCTGTTTCTTTACTCTGCGCGGAAATGTCGTATGTATGTTTTTTGGGTGTGTGTGAGTGTGTGTTTGCATTTAAATTGCGTCACTATTTAAATTGTCGAAACTAAATGGCAAATTTAGTTACGCCTTGCTGAAGCGGTGGCTTCGCGAATTTGCGCTGCGGGAATGGGCAGTAAGTGGATTTAATTAAGTGTGTACACGATTTTTCACTCTAGCGGAAAGTCGGCGCACGTGATTGAGGACGACGCGGCGCGGGATCAATACGTTTCGCAGCTCAACATTAAAAATGCATCGCCGTTGGACCAGGGCACCTTTACCTGCCAGGCGATCGAATCCGGCCATCAGCGTTGCTATACGCGACGCGTTGAAGTCCGAGCTCCACCACGGGTGTGGATTGAACCCATGAGCTTGACTGTTAGGAAGGTAAAAACGGGAAATATACTTTTTTATCGCCTGGGTTGTAAAATACGACGTTTTTCTTAGGGCGAAAATTTTACAATAAAATGCTTCAGTGCATCTACCAACCCAAACGATGCCAAGTACACGTACAGCTGGACCAAGAACAAGGAACTTCTCCCAATCAAAACAGACACCGAGCACTACGAGGTTCTGTTTCCCATGGGCAGCATTCTTCAAGTCTCTACAATCAGTGTTAGTCTAGCACAATTTCTAGATTCCTAGTTGATTGTTTGATTTTTTTTTTCTTTTTTTTGATTAGAAATCGACCATGTTCTCCTGCCTGGTGCAAGACTCGGCCGTGTGGGCCGAACAGAGCATCCTCGTGAACGTGATCGATTCCGAGCTGATCAAGACTTGCGCCGGCGAACGCCACCTCAAGCTTCTCTGGCCGGAAACAGCACCGGGCACCGAAAGCCTACAAGAATGCCCCGTCGGCTATGCGGGTGTGGCGCGGCGTGCATGCAACCTGCGCGAGACCGGCCATCCGGTCTGGTATCTCCCGGACTTTGCCGGCTGTCACTCCGACCGCATGGAGGCGCTCAACTTACAAGTATGTCACTTTAATCTCTTGCACTTGATACGAAATAGTTGCTGCACAATTTACGAATAGTTGCAAACAAAATGGCGCCCGCCATTAATGCGTTAATATGTCCACGAGCATGTCGCCGGAAACTCTTGCGAACATCCGCTTGAATATAGTAGCACTCGAAGGTTTAATTCGTGTTGTTGCTTCGGCAAACAGTTTCAGAAAGTTCGTCTCGGATACGCGGCGACGCGGCCACTCGACGTCCTGCGCGGCTATCGGCGCTATCTGAACGGCAACCGGACGCTGCTTCCGGGCGAAGGGTACACCGTCCTCCAGCTGGTCAACGACGTCGTGCACTACATCAATAACTCCATCAGCGGGGACGTCTACGACACGGTGTTCGATATTGTCGAGGGGATTCTCCAGCGCAAACTTTCGCTCATCAACGAGACGGTGAGTCTTCTTCATTTGAAAACACGTTGTGTCACTTTGAGCAGAAATTTTATTAAGCGCTCGTCACGTCTCGGCGTCGGAGTCGTTTGTTTTTATTAAACTCGCGCAGACAAAGCTGCAGATTACGTCTGAATTTTTTCTGCTGTTCGCCGGCAAAACAGAACAAAACAAAACTCGCAACTCGAAGGTAATTGCAGAAACTCGGCGCGTAACAATATTTATTCAGATGACATTACTACGAGCCCTTCGGTACTTTTAGGCAGCCGGAAGCGACGGAAGTGAAGGAAAAACTCGGGTTAGGGCGTGATTGTTCCGTCACTTGTATCAAAAAAGAATCAATTCACGATTCTGCACTGTCATCACGACGAACTAACAACAACTATGCGACATTAACTTTTCTAATTTCCGGGTTGTGCCTTTTTTTTTGGTTTACGCCGCTTGGGAAAATACATAAAACGCAATGCATTAATAACGACACACAGAGAGTTTGCCTCGTCCTTCTTTTCTTCGACAAAGGCGACGGCTTTTGTTGCCGTGGATAAACCGGAAAATCAGCAAGTGACTAGGGCGTCCGGGCCGGGGCGCGTTTAACTTTTTTTTATCGCCCAACTTGCGCGCCGGGTAAACTCTGCATTTTTCATTACACAATGTTTATGTAAAATAGTTTCCACATCGACATCGTGCAGAGTGCGGAGGCGGCGCAGATATCCGGTTCATGCGCGCCAAAGTTTAAATGAAGTAAGAACGCTGTGCGGCGTTTGCGGGCGTTCGGAAATTTTGTTTAAAAGTTAAATAACGACGAAGCGACGAAAGGGATCAGTCGCACGAGCGTCCGGTGATGCGCGCTTCTAATCGGCTCGGGGTCAATTTACACTTGCGGCCACCCCTTGTCACAGAGACACAGAGTTTCAACTCTCGAGTTCTCGAGTCCCGCGCGCATTGTTCGCGAGACAAACTCATCGCTAAGTATTCCCGGGAAAACAAAACTTTATCATTTTCATCATTCCGTTGCGCGCAGCGAGGTTTGCCTTGCGTTTGGGAGGTAAACGAGCCTCTTAGGCGATTCAACCGCCCTGGTCCGAGGAGATAATTAAGAACTTTTGCTCGCGCCGCAAAGAAGTCACATTTGAATTCTCTTTCATTGTTTCTCTGTCCGCACAAACGAAGTTAATTTTTGCTTTTCGGCTTTATTTTTTGACACCGGGCGACATTATTAAAAGTATTTATATTTCCGTCGTTCTTTATTCATCAAACCGGAAGCAAAATTAAACTTTTTTCATTTCTTTTGATTTACATATTTATCAAATCTACAATGACTTCAGAACCAACTAATTACAAAAATGAAAACCTAAAAAACAAAAAAAAATATTATATAACCGGAAGTTTTTGTATTATTATTCTTCGCTTTTAGTTTAAAATTCGCTGCAACTACACACGCTGGGCATAAAATGACTTGCAGCTTTGTTGAAAGTTTTAAATTGAAAGCTTCCGCCCCATGATTGTGTCGTATTGTTGCAGCAAGTGATGCTGCTGCAGGAGGTTGTTAAGCGACAAAGCCTGGCGTTCCAATCAACCTTTCACCGTACGCTCAACACGATCGACGTGACCCTGACGCGACCGGATAAGACCGGATTCCATGTGCCGCAATCTGGTCTCAGGTATGACCCGCCGTCCTAATCCTTTTACATACTGATGAAAACGAGATTGCCCAGCGCTAGATGACAAGGAATAACTAACGATTGTGGATTGTGGTTGACCCTTTTCCGGCTTACGGACGCCGTGCGCTCCTCTAATTAATACATGGGCTCACATTACGATTGCATTTTTTGGCCACTTTGCTCGTTGACTACAAGTCGTAAATTTCTATTTCACGCCATATACTTTTTTTTACTATGCCTTGTCTTGGGTCTTGAAGCTGACGTTGTGTCCGCTCGCGCACGTTACAGATACCCCGGCTGGTTCTCTTATAAATTACATCTGGCACTCCCTCGGCATTACTTCGCCGCGGCGGCTGGCGTTGGCGCGGCGTCGCCGAATAAATCTGCAACATTAGCGGCGGTGGTTTACAGAAATTTATCCGCCTTCCTCCCGCTGAGATCCGCCATCCGGCTCAAGTAAGTACTTTATGCATTGTTTATATATTTCAACCCTTTCCACCGCCACTCACTCCCACTTAGTATACACACAGTGGCTTCCCTGAGTGCTCCTTGGATTTGTAGCTTTTGTGAGCTTTTATCAACAGCGTGTACTTTTTTATACCCCGAACATAAAGCCTAATGAATATGTTTGCATGCGATTGTGTAGGGACGGCATTGAGATGGACTACGAGGTTATATCGAACATTGTCGGCTGCTGGTTGACCTTCAACGGCAGTGAGCTGCGCGAGAACCTCACGGATATTCTATACACAATGGAGTTCCAGCATCCGGGAAAGAACGCCTCGCAGGACGCATGGAACGTACAGTGCGCTGTCGCCGACTATGCCAGTTATGGTTATGCCTGGAATACGCAGACCTGCATCACAAGGTCAATATTAACCCTCCAAAACCCCTTCCTCCCATGGGAGGGATTAGTACGGTTGCATATGAATGCAAATCGCAAAATTACAACACCGAAATGCTCCTCTCTGTTTGCAGGCTCCTGGAAGCAACGCGCACACGATGCATCTGTCCTCGCTCCGGCACGTACGCCGTCCTCTTGACGATGAAACCGTCCTTCGTAAGTACCTAACCTCATTTGAGATATTATAATGGTGACACATAACCTTGTATATGATTACGATATGTTTACAGATTGACTCCGAAGAGGCGCCCAGTCGCCAGCTGGTGATCCTCGTCGGCTGCGCCAGCTGCAGCCTGCTGAACGCCATCGCGGTGGTGATCCTTGTCTGCTATTGGTTGCGGCGGAGATCGTGTCTCGTCTTCCTCAAACTACAGTGCTGTCTGTCGCTGCTCGCCTCCATGTTGGTGTTCATCTATGCGCTCTGGGACGACCTGCCGCCGGTACGTGCCGTGTGTACACTTTTAAAATTGCATCCTGCATCCACCTGATCTTGCAAATCATCAAAGATTCACCACGGAAACCAGACAGTTTTTGCGTGGTTTTTTTTCGTTGAGTACTTTTTCTCAAAGTCCGGTGAAGTTAGGAGCGGTTTAAAGCCGATGTCGAACGCTTGGCGACGGGAAAATCCCGCTCGGCTTTAATGCAATTTCTCTTGCAGGCGCTCTTCCTGACGGTCATGAGCATCCTGGAGAGTTTCCTGCTCACAGGACTATCGTCCCAGCTGAGCAATTTGCTTATTATTTACTCCGAGCTCGTGCAACTGCCGCGGATGCGCAGCGTCAAGCAAACCGTTGTTCTTATCATAACAGGTACATAGTTTATTTTAATATATTCACCAATATTATTTGAATAAAAATCTTGGACGTGTTTTTTTTTTCTTGTGGTTAGGAGCTCCGATGATAGCCGTTTTTGGTAATCACATGGCCCATCTGACGATGAACACCCGCATTGACTCCTGGTGGCTCCTGCGAGGGTCATTATCCTTCAACATCTTCGTGACTTGTTGCTCGATCATCGTCCTGCTCTACTTTGTTCTGTTTTACATCGTGGCGAGAAAAGTCGCGCGTGCAAACATCAAATGTGAAAAGCGATCCGAAGCGTTGCAGTACAGGTACAGATAGCTTATAAATTTAAATTATTTCGTACGTAACTTGTGCGTGGCAAAAAAAAGCACTCGCGTTGAAATATCAATTACCTGTCAGTGCAAACTGTGTTATGCGCGTGATATTCCTCGCTTATTTTTTTGTAGTTTCCTGGAAAATTCTATAACAAGTTCAAAAAGCGAAGCGAAAAGTTGCAGCGAATTTAAATTATTCGCAAGTTTTTCGGGCGCAAAATTTCGACGACACACTAAAGCACGGTCGGCATATTTTTGCCTTGGTTGTACTCCTCACCGCACGCCGGCGGTATGTTGTTTTAGGCAGCGCAGCCAGAGGAAAATGCGAAAAATGCGAAAAGCGTGCGCGAGCATACGCCGCATAATCAACAACATCGATCAGCAGCCGGGGCGAAATTGTCCGCAGTCGATATCACCGGTTCTACCGCCACGTAGAAAATACAATCCACGCTACTCTCTATAGCCATATAACCGAATAGGCTAGTGGGCTATACACATGTTGCATAGTACATTGGGTTGCATACAGCGCGCTTATTGTGTTTCGGCGCGTTGGCAAATTTATATGTAAAGCAACACTGTTTCAGGTTGCGACTATTGAAGCGATCCGTTTTCGTATTCTGCTCGATAACGGCGACCGTATCGAGCAGCATTCTCTACATCAACGCGCCGGAGAACGAGCTCTGCCATTACGTTTTCAGCGGCCTGTCTGTCTCGATGGTGAGAGATATATCCTACGTGAATTTACATCCCCTCATGTCTAAATAAAGCGATATTCACCTCATGCGCCGGACGTTGCCGTCCTGTTTTATGTTTCAGGGCGCGGTGATATTTTTCTGCTACATCCTCTGCTCGGAGACGCCGGTCAAGCAACTTTTAATTACAAGATTAAAGGACGAGAACGCCGAGAAGCAGAGTCCAGATGCCGGCAAGCATCTCAAATGTGAGTATCATCTGGCGCGGCGTGACTTTATTGCAATCAACAAAAGTTTCTTTTTGCAACACGTTGCGTCGCGGTTTGGGCGATATTAAAAATTTTACGACAAGCAAGGACGACGACCGCATGTCCACGAGGGCAGTTTGAGTTTCAGTTTTGACCCCGGCCGAATTTCTAATTAATTAAACGACCGAATGATGATGAGGGTCGTCTTCATCATCTAACTGCGCGAACCCTTTTTATTCAAATTTGTCGCTCTTGTCGCGCAGCATGGCGCCGGTGATTTTTTGCCCACTCCTAATCAAAATATTCAAAACAAGCACTTTTTTGAGCGCAGTTTTCACCAAAGAAAAACCGGAAGTCGAGAACGACGCCATGCCCTACTTTTGTACCACGGTGGAGACCCGCAAGTACGCAGAGATGACCGCTACCAGCTTCAAGACGGCTGCCAGTGCGAATTTTGCTCCAGATGATGCGCATCCCAGCGCTGTATATCATCAACACACCCAGCTCGAATGTCTGAATTCGCCTGATCTGCTCGGTACGAAAAAGTTTGTTGAGCTCGACCTGGTCGCCTCATCAATCTCCACTTCCTCCGAGGCGGAGACCTGTTTCTATACGTCGAAGACGATGCCGTGCATCACCATCACTCAACCGCCCGATGAGCAACGCCTGCGACCCGAAGGCGAGGAGAAAATCCTCGCGTCATCTGAACTGTCGACACAGAAACAACCTCTGGCGGACAATCTCGACGCCGTGATGGACAGCATCACGCACGATCTCGACTATCTGCTCAATGGCAACGAATACGAAGCCGAGAATGCGAGCGCAGCACCACCGCCAGTCGTGACGACCGGCAGTCTGCGCCGCATCTCGAAGCCTCCCTCGCTCGCCGTCTTCGAACAGATCGACGAGGAGCCCGAGGAGGAAATTAAAGTGCCCGAGGCGATTACGAACGTGTCGCGCACGAGCTGCTAACGAAGTGAAACGTTGCCCAGTGCCATTTAGCGCTCGCGCGCGCGGCAATTTCCAAGCGGCGTTTGTTTTTATTTTCAATCGTGGATTACACCCGATCATCGCCGCCGGCGCGATAACGGGCGCGTTCATGTGTGGCGCCATCATTTCGCGTTGGACTTTTATTGTTGGAGGCACAATAAACATCATCGGAAAAACGTGGAACGAAACGAAACAAAAAAACGAGAATCGAAACAACCAAATAGGTACAAATTCTGTGATAATTTTTGATTTTAACGAATAACAACACTGTAAAAATCATCCATTTTAATGCTAACTAATAATTAATGTTGTGATCTATTTATCAAAATTTCAAAACTTTTATCTACTAACATTTAACGAATATACTGTAGCATTAATTGGGGTGGGTGAACGTGACTGAATTGTGACACGTGGAAATACATACAGGTGCATGTCATTTAACAATAAATCATCATGTTTTAATTAAATCACAATAATTTTACTAATTACCCTGTATCATTATCGTGTGTTTCTAATTATTCTATAACCAACACAACACAAACTTCAATTTTAATTTCCTCCCTAGTAATCTCTTCTGTTGGTACCCAATATACTAATTGTAGTAGTGTATAAGTACTTGTTTTCTTTATAAGTGTAAATACTGTTGACATCTGCTAAAACAATAACTCTGCCGCTGGCTTTCATCGCATTTCCGACACAGACTTCAAAGATAAATTCCTGTCGCTACATTATGAGGTTTATTTAAAGCGGGACGGTGAGTGAATTACCTTCGGGGCATTAAAACCTAATTTAATTAGATGCTTGAGCTCTTAAACTAAACAAAAGCGTTTATGGGACGCAATTAATTTCGCTCGTTTTGCGGAACCTGAAACACGCCGCCGCATGCAGCGGCGGGTAACAATAAAATTGAAATTGTGACGACGTTCCCCTGCTAGACAAGCAGCAAAAAATCGCCGACATTAGGAAACGAATAAATGGACGAAAGAAGCAGAAAACTCATTTTTGTTAGGAGGAGTGGTTGTAAGCACGCCAGCGGGGATGCTGAGAGAGTGCGCGTTTTACAACGCCGACGGGTGCGTCTAATTGCTTGTAATTTGGCCACGCTGATAGAGACCCAGTGCCACTTCAAGCGTTCCCGCCGCTTAGCACTTTCTGCTATGGGTTCTCGAGAGGGACTGTAGTGATATTCGCTGCAGGAGATACGCTGCACCAAACTAGGAGAACAAGGGATCTATCTTCTAGCGCCGTATTTCCTATTGCGATGTGGTGTTCATAGAGTTCTAATCTGTGCGGGTAAGGATCCCTCTTGCAATTCGAATTTATACAGATCTAAGCCACGGCCCAAATATCCCAAGGACATCTAGATCAACACAAGGTAATGTTGTTTTGACCAAAGCTCGAATCCTATTATTATAGAAAGTTGTAGTAGTCAGAGTTTACACTCTCATGCATTAACCAAATAACAAATCAAACACGAGTCAAATTGTGCAGCAAGGTGTGTGATTTGTGTATTGATTTCACTTCACAGTTCACTGCTCATTACTATCGACTTTTTACGAGTAATTGTTAAAATGATAATGAATCAGAGACGAAACAGATAACTCGCAACTACTGAGAACTTGGACTGCTTGATATATTTTTATAGGTAAATATTGGATGGAGAGATTTTTACAACTTGCGTACTTTTCCAACCGTCTAAACCTTCCTGAGTTACCTTGAACTATTCACCTCTTCCATTTCAATTTCTAAAAGATGACGTGGGAAACTCTGTATTTCATGCACTGCTAGCAATTTCGGGCCGATTATCAGCTGATACTGAAAACACTCTGTATCTAGTGAACTAATTGACTTTCTTAAAGTTTCTCCATGCCAGAATAGAGCTAGAGAGTTCCTTTACACAATATATTCTCTCCAATTTTCCAACTCTTTCGGAAGTGCCCTAAAATGTCCTGAAAAAATGAGCAATTTTAGGAAAATTTGAAAACATGGTGTGGAAAACACTCTGTATCTAGTGAACTAATTGACTTTCTTAAAGTTTCTCCACGCCAGAATAGAGCTAAAGAGTTCCTTTATATAATGTATTCTCTCCAATTTTCCAGCCCTTCCGGAAGTACCTTAAAATGCCCTTCAAAAATCAGCAGTTTTAAGAAAATTTGAAAAGATGAGATGGAAAACACCCTGTATCTCCAAAACTAATTGCTTTTCTTTGAGTTTTTCCACGCCAGAAGAGAGTCAGGAGTTTATCTACACGATGCATACTCTTTATACCTTCTAGCCCTTTCGGAAGGGCCTTAAAATGCTCTTCAAAAATAAGCAATTTTAGGAAAATTTGAAAACATGGTGTGAAAAACACCTTGTATCACGTGAACTAATTGATTTTTTTGAAGTTTCTTAACGTCATGTTTAAGTTCAAGAGATCCTTTCCACAATGCACAATTTTTAACCCTATAAACCCTTTGGAAGTGTCTTAAAATCCCAATTGAATATCGCTATTTTTGTCCAATAAATTTCATTTTTTGGTCGAATAACAGGGTCGAACTTTTTTTAATAAATATTTTTTGGTTGAAGAACAGAGTCGAACTTTTTTACTTAATATTTTTTTGGTTGAATTTTTTTGTTACATTTTTTTCGGTCGAAAAACAGGATCGAACTTTTTTTCATAAAATTTTTTATAGTTAAAATTTTCTCGGTCGAATTTTTTTGTTAAAATTTTTTCGGTCGAATTTTTTTATTAAAATTTTTTCGGTCGAAAAAGGGTCGAACTTTTTTACCTACATTTTTCGGTCGAATTTTTTTGTCAAAATTTTTTTGGTCGAAAAACAGAGTTGCACTCTTTTACTTAAAATTTTGTCAGTCGAATTTTTTTGTTAAAATTTTTTTGGTTGAAAAACAGGACCGAACTTTTTTACTTAAAATTTTTTTGTTCAATGAACAGGGTCACACTATTGTGTTAAAATATTTTTGGTCGAAGAACAGGGTCAAATTTTTGGCGATTATGTCAACGAATGCATTTTTCTCTAAAATTGTAAATAGGATCTAAACGGTTATTGTTAGTTACTAAAAGAAACAATGTTAAATTAAATTATCTATCAGAATTCGATTAAGAATTTAATAAAATTAATAGTTCCATGCATAGCACGAGTACAATTCTTTTCATGTTCTGCACTACCACACTGAATGTATCAGTGTTTACAAACAAACAAGTTTCTTTATCTCCTGCATTTTTGTGCGGTCGCCACGCGGTTGGTGTGCGTACCACGTTAGTCTCATTTTTGTCGTCAGGTGATCTGGACGCACATTTTCTTTACAATATTATGAGTTCCTTAATTTTTTGTCGCGTTATTACGTATTGTCTCTAAATGCTCCTTCGACTGTGCGCGAGTGATTTGCGGCGTTCGTTAAGCGCGTACAATCATGCGCAGAGGTAAAGCGTGAGTGATGTTCCGTCGGCCGTCGGATACTCTTTTTGTATCATGTTTATTTCGTATTTTCTTTGGATATACTAAACGCGCAAAAATTTATTTTGCATCAAGGTATGTTCTCATATTTCTTCAGCCATATGAAAATCAAATCCATTATTGACTTAACTTGTTTTTTACTTCAACCGTGTGGTCTTTAACCACACAAATAATTTTGTTACGTTTAATATACAAATTAAAAAGATTAAGATTGTCGTGTGTTGTCGGTTACGTTCTTAATTCTTTGGCGGCTTTTTCCGGCAAAACCAATTAATCACCATTATTAGATACAATTTTTAATTCTGAAAATAAGAAAGATAAATCTTTTGCCTTTTTTATGATGAAATTTTTTTGAGCTAGTGTAGCTTTAGAAATAATTGGATAATTTAATTCTTAATTGATTATTTAAGTAATTATTTTTCCATTATTGACGGTTTAGACCTTATTTGCAATTTTAATTAAAATAAAATTTTTACATGCCAAAATGGCTTTAATCAACAATTGTGTTACATGTTTCCGAGTTAGAATTTAATATACTCTCAAAAACCAAAAACAGAATTCAAAAATTCTAATTATTACAAAATCTGTATTTGTTGAAATAAAATATTTCGTCATAAAAAAGACAAAACATTTCTCTTTTTTATGTCGAATGCAGTTTTCACTAAAATGTGCAAATAGGGCCTAAACGGTTAATCTTAGGAAAAAAAGTTACGAAAATAATCGATGTAGAATTAAAAGAACTGTTTAAGTATTTATTATCCTAACATTGAACGTTTATGGCCTATTTGCAATTTTAATTTTAAAAAAATAGGTGTTTACACGCCAATAGGGCTTTAATCTATACTTTTGTTACTGGTCTCCGATTCATAATTTAATCAAAATTAATGCATTGTACGAGTACAATTCTTTTCATGTTCTGCATTACCACTCTGAATGTATCAGTGTTTACAAACAAACAAGTTCTCTTATCTCGTGCAATTTTTGAGCGGTCGCCACGCGGTTTGCCTCGGTTGGCTTGCCTACCACGTCAGTCTCATATTTGTCGTCGAGTGATCTGCACGCACATTTTCTTCACAATAATTTGAGTTCCTTAATTTCTTCGCGTCATTACGTAATATTTCTAAATGCTCCCTCGATTGTGCGCGAGTGATGGCCGGCGTTCGTTAAATGCGAATTGTTTATTCGCAGAGGTAAAACGTGAGTGATGTTCGGTCGGCCGTCGGATACGTTTTTTGTATCATTCGCGTATTTCATATTTATTTCGTATTTTCTTTGGATATGCCAAAAGCGCAAAAATTTATTTTGCATCAAGGTATGTTCTCGCATTTATTAAGCCATTTGAAAATCAAATCCATTATTGCCTTTACTTGTTTCTACCTTAACTGCGTGGTCTTTAAGCCTACAAATAATTTTTGTCTCCGTTTTAATACCGTTGATTTGCATTACGTATTTGATACCTTGTTTTGTTTTTGTTTAATGTACAAATTAAAAAGATTAAGATAGTCGCATGTCGTCGGCTGCGTTCTTGATCCTCTGGCGGCTTTCCGGGCTGGTCGGTGGTTGTTTTATATGATTTAAAATAAAATTCTGCTTTGTGCTTTATTTTTGTAATATCCAACCCATCACATTTCCTTCATATCCAAAGAAAATAAAATTTTTAAAATTTTTAAAATTATTTTATTTTTATGTTTTCTTACTTTCTTACTTAAATGTCTAAACATTTTGATTTTTTTAAATTCCTGATGGCTTTCTTTTTATATTATCTTGTTGTTGTTGCCTTGTTAATTGTTTCCATCCGTTTTCCTACTTAAATCTTAATTGTTCTTTGTCTATTGCTCAGTAGATATATTTTTCTTATCATTTAATATACCATATTTCTTAGTGTTTGGGCGTTTTATTTTTAAAACTTAGTGTTTTCTTTTTGTAACACCCTGTAAATTAATTTCCCGTGGTGTCAAAAGGGGAAAGATGTATGTTATCCCATTTAAACATAGGATTTTCCTTTAAAATATTGTAGGTAGTTTCCTATTTGTATCACCCTGTATTAAGGTATGTCAAAAGGGGAAAGATATATGTTATCCTACCTAAAGTTAGGATTTTCTTTTAAAATATTGTAGTTTTCTTTTTGTATCGCCCTGTATTATAATTTTCCGTAGTGGTTTTTTGTAACACCCTGTACACTAATTTCCCGTGGTGATTTTGTCAAAAGGGAAAAGATATATGTCATCCTACTTAAACTTAAGATTTTTCTTTAAATTTTTGTCGTTTTTTCTTTACAACGCCCTGTATATTAATTTCCTTTGATTTTACTTTTACTTGTTTCAGATATATATTTCCCTACTTGAATTTTGAATTTTCTCTTTAAATGTTAGAACTTCACTAAGTAGTACGCGATTGCTTGCGCGGCTAAGCAGGTCGTAAGTCCTGTTTCAATATGGCGGCATGAATTTTGTTGACTTGTAAAATCTAAACTTGTATTATTTTACATTGTATTTATTAATAAAGAAATGTTAAGAAATATTATGTCTTATGCTTTGAATGTACCCCTACTATCATTTCAGGTACAGGTCTCTAAGAGAGTTCCCTCTCTCAGGGGATGATCCCCACTATAAAAATTGTTAAGGAATCCGTATGATTTGTGTACTCTATCTTTCATTTCAGCTGCAGGTCAAAACTTGTAAGAATATTTTTAAGTGTCCCCTCTCTTGAGGCGACTTAAAAATTAGAAATATTTTTACAAGTTCTTAAAAGGATGTCCTTATAAGGAGTTCCCTCTCTCTGGGGATGATCCCCCACCATAAAAATTGTTGATATGCCTGATAATTTCGGGGATGAAGCGCAGAGACATCGTAGCTGTAGGATGGGCCGGGAGCAATGGACGCACCGAAGCAGTGGGCCTTAGACTGTCTAACGACACGGGCCAAAAAATATAAAAATCTGATCCACTCCTCTTCTCTTTCTTCTATCTCCTCCTCTTCTCTACTCTATTCTCTGTTCTCTTCCTTCTATCCTCCTATTCTCTACTACTCATTCTTCTATTTCTCTGTTCTCCCGTTCTCCTTTTACTTTCTTACTTCTCATGTTGCCGCCTTCACTTATACATATTTCTATTTCTCTTATATTTCGTTGCAATTCATATATGCAACCCAAATTACACCAGATATTTTTATATTTGAGAAAAATGCCTTTTATAACTGAGATTCGATCCGTGTCTACTCGCATGCCAGCAGGTGCACGTCTCCACTCGACCACCGAGTGTTTTTATCATTGTTATTTGATTCTTCTATTTATGTTTCTACTTTATTCAACTTTTTAAAAACAACAACACATGCCTTAGCAATGTTGCGCTCACATAAGCTTCATATGAAATATGATTTAACACGCATATCCTGAAAACGACAAAGAGGACACACAAAAAAAATATGAATGTGATTTTAATTTTAAATTGAATTTTATTAATTACATTTAACAATACATTCTTCTTTCTTTTTTTATTAAACGAACGTACGAGTATGTACGATCTATGGCACAACGAGCCACAACCAAACGTTACCAAACGTTACATATAAAGTAGAATTGTTAGTAGAATTGATGCTACTACTCACTGCATAACTTTTGCACTAATTAACAATATCATTTTGGCCTATAAATCCAATTGGAATCCGTAGCCCAACGTAAGAGATCCAACGGCCGGCGGCTGATGGTTTACACACGCGCACGTGGTGTCTTAAATCTCGAGTCTATTCGATGACTAAACAATTATAAGGCTCGCACCGTATTAAAAGCGCCCGAAATACTAACAGTCGCAACGAACAGTGGCAGAGAAGAAAAAGAACACGCGCACACAGCACAATTGAGTATCACTGTCTGACTAAACAGGAAAAAACAATAGCCAATACGCCAGCGCAAGATGTACGCAGAAGTATAGCGAACTGTCACTTGAACCCGAGGACACACGGCGAGCTCTGCGGTACTGTTCAAATTTCAAATGGCAGCGCACAGCGTGCTGCGTAAGACAAGGTCGAACTGAAAGCATAAACAAAGTGGGGAAAATTCTGCAGATCATATAGAGAACATGGATTGAACATGAAACTCTCTCTATTGCTCTCTTATTCTAACCCACCTGCTATCACCTCATCCTGGTATTTCTATCTCACTCACTTGAACGAAAATTAATAAAACACAATCCATGTTATATATAATCCAAAAACTATTCAAAATGACTAAATGTAAACAAACAGTTACAAGTTATCGACGGAACAACGTACGAAACGTACAATTTATCCAACAATACACGTTCTACAGGTACATCTCCTACAACATTAGAATATAACGCCATGATGAATTAAATTTTACATCTTTAGGGACCTCGCTGATATTACGCGGATGACGCGTTCATGTGCTAAACCCCAGCAAAATCAGTGCATCGAAACACAAAATGTAAATTTTTCTTGCTAATTCATAAGTTATTCATAAAAGTTATGTATGAAAATGATAAAGAAATTAATTACTTACAATCTGATGCAAGAATGGTTCTGCTACGATGTCGACTTCGGGTGCAGAACATCTAAAACAAGCAAAAAGTAGTCGTTTACAACACAAAAATGCAATTTGTGTCACTAATTCATGAGCTAATCACAAAAATTAGTGATGAACTAACGATAAAGATAAAGAACGATAAAGAAATTAAATACCTACAATCTGATGCAAGAATGGTCCTTCTATGATGTGAGGTTCAGGAGCAAAATCCCTAAAACCAGCAAAAAATAGTCCTTCGAACATAAAAATTCAATTTTGCGGGTTAATTTGTGAGATAATCACAAAAGTTATTTAGGAAAATGATAAAGAAATTAAATACTTACAATCTGATTTAAAAATTGTCCTTCTACGATGTCAGACTCAGGTGAAAAATCTCTAAAACCAGCAAAAATTAGTCCTTCGAAAATAAAATTGCAATTTTGGGGGTTAATTTGTGAGATAATCACAAAAGTTATTGAGATAACTGATAAAGAAATTTAATACTTACAATCTGATGCAAAAATTGTCCTTCTACGATGTCAGACTCAGGTGAAAAATCCCTAAAACCAGCAAAAATTAGACCTTTGAACATAAAAATGCAATTTTCGGGGTTCATTCGTGAGATAATAACAAAAGTTATTCAGGTAAATGATAAAGAAATTAAATACTTACAATCTGATGCAACAATGGTCCTTCTACGATGTCAGGCTCAGGTGCAAAATCCATAAAACCAGCAAAAATAGTCCTTCGAACATAAAAATGTAATATTGGGGGTCAATTTGTGAGAAAATCACAAAAGTTATTTAGGAAAATGATGATGAAATTAAATACTTACAATCTGATGCGTAAATGGTCCTTTTACGATGTCAGACTCAGGTGAAAAATCCCTAAAATCTGCAAAAATTAGTCCTTCGAACATAAAAATGCAATTTTGGGGGTTAATTTGTGAGATAATCACAAAAGATATTCGGATAAATGATAAAGAAATTAAATACTTACAATCTGATGCAAGAATGGTCCTTCTACGATGTCAGACTCAGGTGCAAAATCCCAAAAACCTGCAAAAATTAGTCCATCGAACATAAAAATGAAATTTTGGGGGTATATTTGTGAGATAATCACAGAAGTTATTTTGGAAAAATAAATACTTACCTTGGGCATTTCAAGCAGTTGACAAGTTTCACATGGTTTTAAAAATATTGAACCTTTTCAGAATTTAGCACGATATCTAAATGCGCCGGCTAAAATTCAAACTGAAAATAGGAAAATACGATATACCTACGGTAGTCTGGCAGTCACAGATTCTAATACTATTGTATTTATATAAATAGGTATATCTCCAACCCTCACAATATGGTTGAAACCTCTATGATCATTTGGCTGGAGGGCTCTATGGGTCTGAAGATTTCCGCCACTCATCCCGGCACTCGAAATACTTTATCATTGAGTTTATGTACGTGCGTCTAGTTCCAGTTACTTAGCTCAGCTCTGCATTGGCTTTTAGGGATGTCGGGATGCGCCTCCAACCTAAAACTGCGATACACACAGTGTATCCCGCGTGCTCTGTGTGGGCGTTAATGACCGAAAGTTTCTTAATTACGTAAAATAATGTTATCGTTGTTAGGCTGCGTTGCGAGCATCCTGCGGGGCGAACAACTAACCGGATCTTCACGTCGCACCGCGCATCGCGCTTGCAAGCCCGGCGGACATTTATTCTACGTGCAGGCAAGCAAGCAAGCAAGCAAAAAAAACACCGCAATAATATAGTAGTAATAATAGCGGAGTTTTCCAGGCACGGGCGAGGCGCAAGATGATGCGATTCATTACGAGTTTTCTAAGTAAAGTCATAACTAACGGAAGAGCAGCACCAGCGACTCAACGCTAGTTAAATTATTACGCGCATAGCTGAAGAAATCATCCTATTTCTAACAAGGTGTTGTCTTCTTTATCGTATCAATAAAACACGATGCAAAGACTTTGAAAGTTTTTAAAGATAGATGTTGTTTTATTGCGAAAACCAACTTCGTACTACTTACTTACTTGATAAAAGTCGGTTATCATGTCAGCGAGCGACCATGATGCACATAGAACGCCATAACCGTAAACGTAATGCGGTAATGCATCTTCCGCGCGTTAATCGACGTTAGTCCATCGAAGTTATCCGCCTGCGAAACATTCTATCCGCCGTTCGTTTATTTGCGGTTATCAATTACTCACCTCGATGCACAAACTTATCGCCGCTTGCGTGCTCCTCGCCGGGATATGCTTCATTACTGGTGAGTGAGTGGCTGGGTAATGAAGACCTTGCTGATGTTGTTTGTTACGATCGCAGACAATGTGAACGCTGGGATGAACATGTTCGATTGGAAATATTGGAAGTGCTTTCTGAAGAAATCAACTGATTGTCCCGATAACGACATTCGTTTCTATCTGTATTCGCAGTAAGTATCACAGACGTCAAGCGGGATGTAATTAAGTGCAGTTATGTAAATCAGCGAGTCGGGAACGCGCCGGAAACGCATTGATGTTCGGAATCCCTTGGCGCTCAACATCGCCGGCTGGAATCGGACGAAAAACAACGTCATCATCATCCACGGCTTCAACGGTACCGAGAACAAGAGTCCCATTACGATCCTTAGAGACGGTAAGAATGGAAAGCAGTTTAATTTGGATGCTGAGAAAAGCTTCCACGTTCTTCCCTTCTTGAATCGGTGTGGTTTTGCGTAAAATTTTCTGATTGAGTTATCGCTCATGTGGGAATACGTGCGCTCCGGCGTGAAATTTAAATCTCTTTCAAGCCTTCCTGACGCGCGACGATTATAACGTCTTCACGGTCGATTGGAAGCCGCTGACGCAATTCCCGTGCTACCTCTCGTCGCTGTCGAATACCCGCCTGGTGGGCAAGTGCACGGCGCAGTTTTACGCGTATATCATGGACCATGGCGGTGCGGCAAGGAAGACGACCTGCGTGGGCCACTCGCTCGGCGCGCACATTTGCGGCATCATAAGTAATCACCTCGACGTCAAGCAGCATCGCATCGTAGGTAAGAGCCCGAGCATTACTTCCGAATTTCACATGAGTATTGCGCATCTCAATGCATGAAACCTAATGGAGCGCAGCAATCGCTGGGCAATCTTTATGCGAAAACTAATAACCGTCAAATTCAAGGATTGGATCCCGCACGCCCGCTGATTAACGAGTACGCCTCGCATGTGACCCGTCTCAGTCCCGAGGACGCTTTTCAGGTGCAAGTCATCCACACGAATGCTGGTTTCCTCGGCGAGGCACACCAGCGGGGACACGTGGACTTCTGCGTCAACGGTGGTAACTCACAGCCGGGATGTAAAGGCCACTGGCTGCGTAAGTCCTGCGACCTGTGTCTTGTTCTATTATTTATCAAAAGGACGAGGCTTTCGGTAGTAGCAAACGCTAACGGTCGGGAACTATTTCAGGTATCTCGCGATGCAGCCACTTTCAGAGCGTCTGCTTCTACGCTGCGACCGTGCGGGGCACCCACACGCACATGGGCCGGCCGTGCTCCTCCGTTTGTCCCAAACAGAGCAAGAACTGGGGCATGAAGCCCGGGAAAGCTATTCCTATGGGAATTAACACGCCTTTGAGGTAATCACAATGCGGCTCATTATCACTTGGCTTTTGAGATTTTCGCTTTGTTTTCAGTGCGAAGGGTACTTTTTGCGTCGACACCGGCGTTGCTACCACCAGACACAATGAGTGTCCATTTGACAAAAATTAATTACGACGAGCAAGACGAGAAAAACTAGTAAATCGTTAAGACTTATGTAGAATTAACGAGCGCTCATCGCAGCTGGGTTTTAAAATGTTGATTCGACTAGTTGCCACTAGGAGGCGCTGTAAGTCTGATTATTGATTTACAACGTCGGGACTATAATATTTTAGTATTTATTTGAATTTAAAAATAAGTAAAAATTAATATTTAACATTATTTAATATTATAATGTATATTAAATACAATCTTACAATAATAAAATTTAGTTAAACCTTTAAATCCAATCAAATACTGTAAATATTTGACATTTTAAGCAGACCCTGTCTTTCACTAGTTTTTGCAGTACCTCAAGTTTTAAGTAGATGGCGCTACGCACACCAAAACTTTACGGTTTAATTCAACGGAAGAATCTCATCAGAAAATTAGCACTAAATTATCATTAACCAGTTTAATAATCCCGCTATTTAATCATAATTTGACGCATAACATTAGTTAACATATTTTTAATATAAAATTAGCATACACAAATATTAATTTTTCCTATCAACAAGCACGTGTGCGTAATTAAAATTAATTTACGATGATCGCACCTGCCGATGCGAAACGCTCACCGAAAATATTGTTCTACTTTGGGACTTTAGAAAAAGTCGGTTTATATGTCAGCGCCCAAAACGTACGCTGGTACGATCTCCAAAATGTATCAACAGTCGTCAAGAAACGCTCGAAGCCGAAGCAGCAAAAACGAACAAAAATGATTGCAAGCGTTTAGTTTTCGTACCACACTCCGATCAATCCCAATCAGTTAATCGGCATAATTTAAAAGTTTGAAAATGAAGCAGAAACATGTTATATTTTGTGTGGTTGCGTTGGTTGTCCTGTGCTGTATCATCGGTAAGATCAATCAATGTTAACGTCAAGAATTCCTTTTAAAAAGAAGCAATGCTTGTGCGCAGGTGAGGTGAACGCCGGATTGAATATGTTTGATTGGAGATATTGGAAGTGCTTCTTGAAGAAAACCACCGAGTGTCCCGATAATGAAATACGATTTTATTTATACACACCGTAAGTCTCCGAAACATAATAAAACTTTATTTTAAGAAATTGATTGTAGTGAAGGTGGTAAACAACGCATGCGGATAGATGTTCGTAATAAACACGCGTTGGACTATTCCGGTTGGAACCGGAAGCGAAACAATGTCCTCATTGTCCACGGTTACAATGGAACGGAAAGTAAAAGTCCTATGACCATTCTTCGAGATGGTAACAACTAAACTATTAAATATTAAAATATTAAAAAATTCATTGAATTAATTTTAAGCGTATTTATCAAGAAAAGATTACAATGTCTTTACGGTGGATTGGAAGCCATTAACGCAGTTTCCATGCTACGTCTCATCTTTATCCAACACTCGATTAGTTTCTAAATGCACAGCACAATTCTATGCATATATAATGGACCACGGTGGATTGGCGAAGAAAACCACTTGCGTTGGACATTCCCTTGGGGCACACATCTGTGGGATGATTAGTAATCATTTGGATATTAAACAATATCGCATCGTAGGTTAGTACCTATAATAACAGTAATTTAGTTAAAATAGAAGTAAAGTTTTATTGCGATTATTTTTGATTAAGCTTTGGACCCGGCTAGACCATTAGTAGCCCAATATGCAAACGATGACACCCGGTTGACTCATGACGACGCATATCAAGTGCAAGTTATCCACACAAACGCAGGACGTCTCGGAGAAGTCAACCAAAGAGGCACTGTTGATTTCTGTCTCAATGGAGGGATGATTCAACCTGGTTGCAGAGGACATAATTTCCGTACGTGTGCAATATAATGAATCTAGGTTATGTGAGGTTATGTTTTATGAATTTGTGTGGTTTAGGCATCGCCCGGTGTAGCCACAACCAAGCGGTGTGTTTCTTCGCGTCGACGGTATCCGGCAAGAGTACTCACATGGGACGACCTTGCTCGGCCGCCTGCCCGAAGAACAACTCCAGCTGGGGCATCGTGCCCGGCAAGGCAATTCCCATGGGCGTTGATACGCCCATTAGGTATGCACAGCACAGCTCTCCACCGGGCACTAATCTACTATCTACAAAACTATTTATTATTAGACGCTATCACACTCAATACCCGCCAACTCCCAGTGGTCGCTCCACAGTCCTCACATTCAGAGATAACACGCTAAAAACTATTCGTTGTTTTCAGCGCCAAAGGTTCCTATTGCGTGGATACCGGTTACCACGATGAGTGTCCGTTCAACAACTCGTAGTAATGGAGGCATGATCATCGGCATAATGGAGACAATTTGTGATATCCGAAACGAAAGAATGTACCGCTATCGGCGCTGCGGAGTGGCAGATGATCGTGAAATTAATTTTCGATGTTAAGGTCAGTGTCGTCCCAAGACGCGGTCAGCAATGCGAAGAGAGGAGAGCGCCTAGCACAAGTAGGTTAACGTCAAGTAAAAGTGTAACAATTCTTTTGTGTCTACCTCATAGTATACCTATTTATTGTATGTAATTAATTATATAGTGAATTGCCCATGCAAAAAAACAGATAGTACTTTTATTTTTGATACGTCTATGACGTACATTCGTATAAAACGTAATAGAAAGGTCTGCAAAGTAAAAGTTTTGATTCCGAAATGAAGCTTTTTGCATTGTATGGCCCTCTAGTTTCCAATCGCAAAAGCTTGCAAAAGCTTTACATAGTTATCTGTACAAACTTCAACACAAAACAAAATTTTCTTCTTTTTTTTATTATTTTGACACTTATCACAAAATATAAATATTTTATTAAGGCATGTAATTAAACGAACTTTATTTTTTCGATATTTAACTTGTAAATACATTAAATGCACTTATAATAAATGTTTGCACTTAAAAATGCAGAACTGAACTTAAAAATAAATATTTGCACTTTGAAAAATGGATTCCACTTGAATAAAGTGCTTTCCACTATGAAATCAATACTTCGCACTTATAAAACTTGCAAAGTATGCAACCAGCGCATAACTTTTTCAAGGTTATATACAGGATGTTACGCTAGTGTTTTACGTGTGCCCCACAAATATTACCAGACAAGGTAGCCTACCTAACCACCACCCCCACCCCAAACCCCCCGACCACCCCCTCGCCCCAACCCACTAATCAAATAACTAAGCTTCCAAACTTTGCATTGCTAAATTTTTCTTATTACAAATCATGCGACTTGCCCTGTATGCTATATAGTTTCGTTCAGTCGTGTGCACGCGGAGAAGCACGATCATGCTCCAAACTTTGAACGTGCGCTTGCGCATTCCGCAAGTCTGAGAAATGGATCTAGCCCCAACACCCTTAACTTATAATATAGTAATATAATTCAATTCATTCAGGTTGTAAAATAGCTTTTTTGGGATATTGTTTATTGCGCTTCATTTTTTTCACATCTGCGATGCACGTGGTTCGTGGCACGTTTATCCTCCTCCTACAACTTTTATCTACACTTTTGGGGTGGTAGTTGGAATAAAAAAAACGGAGAGTGGTCAGTGCGTCTTGAATCACAACCACAAATTCCACCGAAGTTTTTTCGAAGTTCTCATTCTCAAGTTAAAATCTTTGCCCAGTTTATTTGAAAAAATATGCATGCAAACATAGTTTAGGTATGTTAATCAGACTTCGGAAGGTGAAGGTGCCCCTAGAAGTCCTGAATATACCTCTCGGCCAAAAACGTAAACGAGGAAGGCCCTCCAAGGCGAAGAAAGCTCTACTCATTCAGTGAAATAATTATAATAGTTCCTATTTAGAATTTTTTAATATTTGTTTTTAGGTTTTTTCATATTTCCAAGAGTTTTATATTTTTATATTTTTTACATTGTATTTTACGATATTTTTTATATGCAATATACAATACACCTATTTTTAAATTTAACTTTGTCGTAACCTCGTAACACCCCTTACATTACATTACCATAAGATTTGTGTAACAAAATTATAAAGTTTCAATTTAAAAAGTTGATTCAAAGCAAATTTAAGCTTAAACCTGAATATATAAGTTCATTGTATTAAAATATAAGTTATACAATCTATAGTGCATAGTATGAATTTCTTAGTGCAAAGTATGAAAACTAAAGTGCTGCCGTTCAAGTGGGTTGTATTTAAACTAAAGTGCATTTAATATATCCCCTTTTATTAATTTAATTCAACCCTGTATTTCTAAACTAAACAAAACATTATTTTAAACTTTTGGGTTTTAGAGTTGTTCTAAACTGTTTGTGTGGATACATGTGATATAGTTGGCATTAAATTTAGATTTTGGATCAATTTCGAACTGATACTTGTGATTAATGTGGCGTCGCGGGCTTAGGTCAGGTTTTCGACATGGGCCCACAGCCGAAATTAAATGCGGCATCGAGCGGCGTACATTTCCATGATAATATACCGTCGGAGTATAAAACGCGCGCCGGTTATTACTCCGCGTACTATTTGTCACTAAGCCGGCGGCGCTGTCATTAATCATTTTCTAAGATGTGCGACACCCTCGCCGCCGTCCGCGTTTTTCGTTTTAACTTACAACTCGCTTTTGGTAAATGATCCTCGATTCCCAACACTCACACATCAACACACATAACCCCAATACTCTTATATGTGAATATAGGTTATAATCTTAAAAAATCATAACCTAAAATAATCGCCGTATGATTAAAACGAATAAGTTTCAAAGAGCGGCTTGTTTTTTTCGATTAAACGTGACGTTTTTATGAAAGTTGCTTTTATGATATGATGATAGTTTGTCGGTGGTTGGAGTGTCGGTGGAAAGAATGGCGATGATGCGTTGCGTTGGCCGCGATCAAAACGCGAAATTGTGCTCGTATATGCTGTGATAATAACGATAACGATACGGCTCGGCCTCCAACGACCGTTAACATGCTAAAGCCCTTTTTATTATATTTTCACGCGTTGAGGCGCTTATGGCGTTTATTCGATCAGAGTTTTTTTTAATGATAAAACGTGGAGTAAAAAGAGCAACAAAATGGCGACATAAACACAAAAATCATTTTTATAACCCAAACATTACATCAATCGGACTTTTATTGGTGTTATTTGGACAAACGCTTTTAATTTTCAAGTTTGTTGGTTATGTTTACATTCTATGCAAATACCAACGCCATCTTTAAATTACAAGCGGTATTATTATACTTTTAACCTTAAATATTATTTTTTCGCGTTTTTAAAATAAAAACTCAAAAAACTACTAACTCGATATTCAATAACCAATAATGTTCAATTTAAAGTGGTCTAGAAAAACAATGTTCGGTGTATGAGCAAGATGGTTTGAATGATTGGATGTGCCGGAACGTGTCGGGCTGGTTTTTGGAGTGTATGTAGTGGCTGCCGGGGCGCCGCGTTCAAGGGGTTGGCGTCGTGCGGGGGAGAGCGCGCGCTCGCGTCGTACTTGTACGCACGTACGCACACACCAACCCACAGCGACTGTGTGTATCTCGCCCGCGCGCGCGCTCCTACAGCGCAAGGCGCAAGACGGTTTCGGTCCTCTTCCCCGGTCAATACTCTGCCGACTGTTCGGCGCGAGAGACGATCTCGCGTGCCGCCTATCCACCAGTGTGTATCCACATGTCGTCCCGCTGCCGCTGCCGATGCACCACTTTGCACTGAGGCGCGCAACGGCGAGCGCCGAGACTGGAGAGAGAGGTTGCACTCGCCGCTGACTTGTGCAGCGCAGTTGCAGCTGCACGCTCGGGCGGTGATCGTGTCCGCAGTCCGCGAGCTCGCGTTCTTCGCCGCCGCGCATAATTATGTGAACAACACCACAGTGCGACGACCACAACGAGAGAGAGCTAGGCCCACGAAGGGCAGGCGCTATGGAGTGAACACATTTGCGCGAATTCAAAAGATTACTGTTTAAATCACAAAAAAAAAAAACGTGTGCCGACTTTGTCGTCCGTTTTCGGTGATGGGGACGACGACTATTCACCACTTGACTTTCTGGATATTTTTTTATTTGGGTAAGTACCTAGAATTTAATGTGTTATAATCGATAATCGCAGCAATCACAACAAATGATGCGTGCTGCGTCAACAAATTTGTGTTACTATTAATTGCCGATGGGCGCTCGAAAACTTGTCGTCGTTGGGAATGTCGAAAGGTAGAAAAAACACCTTGCCTCGACGTTGAGTGTACTCTCTTGCCTGGTGGCTTGTCTCTTATCTGTTCGTTTCCACTCCACACGCACACAGTTACACTCGACGACGAGTAACAATGCCGCACTTGTTTGGGTAGATTTTTACCCGTGCGAAACGCACTCAAGTCACTCACGTGGTGACGCACTGCGCATGACAAAGCAGCTTGACGCGCATAAAAATTTCCAAATAAAAACTATCAATATCATCCGGATATCCAGACGAGTCGGAGGGCATCATTGAAGGTCGTTTGGTTGCATCGCCAAACGCACCATATGCCATTCCGTACAATTCCGCACAAAAGCACAGGGAATATCTACGCCTGTGCCGTTAAATCCCCAAAAACTCGATAATAATAGCCCTCTCTGCAAAGCCCATAACCCTCACGCACAAAAGAATTTCGGTACACGTACGAAAATAGAAAATTTCCCATGTAACTATTACAAAGTTTACAACGCGTAGCGTAAACACTGTGTGCTAAACCGATGCGAAAATAAACAAAAGCTTCAAACGCTTTTAAAATCCACAAAACTAAGCATGAGCAGATTTCTGCATATCATCACCAAAAAGCTACATAAAGTGTAAAATGTAAACTTTTCATTCTTTTCCCTCGGCTGGTTTGTAACAACACCAAAATAAAAAAAAAATAAAAAAAGGTTTTGATGCGTTTAACATGGTGTTGTCGCGTGCACGAAATTGAACAGCATGACTTTGCAAGAAAATTACGTTTTAAAGTAATCCATCAAGTTGTAAACTCAATTTACCTTTTGCCCTCGCCACAGATTCCCATTTCTTGGGACACAAACACAGCGTGGGGGAGTACTGCGACGTTATAATTTAGTCCCCCAATTGACAAAGTCAACTGCACATGACTCATCATCGGTGACATTGTCTGCTTATTTTTTTCTTTCCCGAAGCGAATGATTTGGTTTATAGTATTTGGGCTCTTTAGTCTTTGGCTTTCTGGAAAAGTCTTCGGACGTTTGGCACAAAGCAATATAAGGTAAATTGAGAGGGTTTCCTTTGAGCCGGCGGGGCACACATTCGTCCTTCGCTATAAATTCACATTAAAGACGCGCCTGCTGGCAGCCCGTGTAGAGAAAAAAAACCGCTACCAGTCAGAGAAATATCCTCTCTGAGCTAAAGGAAAAAACTCGAAAACGAAAGACTTCGTTGTCGGCCCAAACGCTATCAAGAAAAGCGATATAGTGGCTTTCGTGTGTGTATTGTGCGCGATTTTTTGCTCTCCCTCGAATGCTAAAAGTTATATTGCCACCCGCAAAAACCCGCCGCACGAAAAGTGTAATATCATTGCTATTGACATGCTTTTAGAGCCGAGTTTTCTATTTAAATACAAATAGTACAAAATCCAGCGACGTTAAAGTCAAGATTCAGATAGAGATGTCGTGGTGAATTTTCTTTCAGCGTAATTTTAATGAAAAAATATTCTTGGCTCATTTCCATTTTGAGTCGTTTTGCACTTTGATAACAACTCGCGCAGTGCAGACGTGAGGGTTTTGAATAAATAACTAAACAGATAAGAGCTTCAAGTGCACTAAAATCTGCGTCGTGTCATCGTAAAATTTCACCGCTGGCCTCCACACGGACCACAGCGGAAAATCACACTAAACTTTTCTAGTTTTTCTTTGGATTTCATTGCATTCTCAGCAGTTAATATACATTTTCTTCGTTTCGATCACACAAGGCGCCAGAGCTACAAAAAGTAGAAAACTCGTTTGCTTGGTTCGTTAGGAAATTAGAATGGTGCGCGGCTTGGTGAAAGGCAATTAGCGTAGAACAAAAGCGCACTGCCATATTTTTCCAAACGCGCTTCATCCGCTTCAATGCGTCTTGAATTTAATGCCTCCTTTGACTTCCGACGTTCAGTGGCTGTGGTTTTCTTGACCCCATCAAACGAATTTCATCCTAATCGCCAAAAACCACTTTTTGGTTTTACGCCTTCTTCCAATTCACAATCGACAATATTTGTGTGCGCTTTTTTTCGGTGAGGACGCAAGTCGCGGTTCAACGAGCCGCCAGGTCGACTATCGATTTCAGATTACGCGTACAACACATACATACATACTCTTGGTCGGTTCAGCAGCAAGCAACGAAAAGAACCAGCGAGTGCCACTCGAAACGCATCGATAAAAATTTATATTATGTATGCATAAGCTTCGTCTTTGCCCGCGGGGCACGGAGAGGCAGCTTACTCGCGATACACCGCGTCGCGAAGCCGGAAAATATATATAGTACACGCGAAAACTGTCTGTGTGCTACTGCCTGCTACTTATGCGAATCAGTGGAATCAAGCAGTCGTAGATCCGACTGGGATATATTCGGTGGAAGCCGAAGGAGAACGTTAAACGGATCGCAATCTCGAATAAAATATTCGGGAGTGCACGTCTGTCAACTGTTACACTACTTGACACATGTCTGAATGCATGTTTCACCACTGCACTACTCGTATAGTAAAAGAAAAGAATTTTGATGGGTAGTGTATATTTAAGGTTAGGTTAGTAAATTTTAACCTTAAAATTAACTTGATTGTTGATTTGTTGTGGAATCAAAACCGCAGACGGTCGCCATCAACCCAAAAGCTTTTTCAACCCTTTCGCTAGGCCTCCCACCCATGAAATGAGTAATGACGCTTTTTGTTCGCGCGGCCTTTCGCTCAAACACGCCCAACACATCGCAGGAATGCGAATTCACGATTTTATTAGCATAAAACGCAAGACTTCCGGTGGCGCGTTTTTTAGGTCGAGCCTAATGAAGGTGCCTTTGCCAAAAAGCACACAGTGCACCGCCTTCTCATGTGGTAATAATACAGGCTGCGTACGAAAATAACAATCAAAGCCCCAAATCTATTTTAATGCTAATTCCTGCATCATTCAGTAGATGGAATCATTGTTTCCTCTATGAATGTAGTGGTACGATGAAGAAATGTTTTGGCAGCGCTTCAAAGTGTTCGAAATTGGCCCCGCGAATAGGGTTAAGACAAAAGCTCTGAAAGCATGTGTGTGTGTTGTAGGCAAAAAGCGCAATTGTTTGTGGGCAATGCGGTTAGTTGATGTTTTGCCCACGAACTGTTGAAGCCAAACATCTAAATTCATTTGTGAAATATTTGAGGTTAGCACACGCGGCCATTTTGTTTGCTTAGAAAACAAAAGACGTGTAAAAAGCTTGTTCTTTTGCGCAAAAGTTTTTAATAATCCTTAACGTTCCTTAATGCAATTTCGCATTCGTCGTGTGTAGCAGAAGCAACTCCTGCGCTCTTCTCTGGTTGCACGTCGCAGTTTCGTTTCGCGTAACAGCTTAACCGTGCAACTTTCCGAACTTCATACCTCGCACGATGGAAAAATAAGAAAAACAACCCCACGACGTACTTTCACAACAAACTTGTGATGAGATTACGACACTAAACACCATCTTGGCATACAATTTTCCACCATTTTATTTTTCGTAATTATCAAGTCAATCTTCATCATGTTTTTAACTTTTACGCGAAACGGTTTGATATAAAAGTATATATAAATTGGAAATACGCGCACGTAGACCACACACCGGCTGTCATTTCTTCTCTCCGACATGAGAATTTTTCCCCAAACTTGTTTCATGGAAAAGTCGCTTCTGAAACACGAATCTCGCCGCCGCTGGTGCATTATTGCATGAGAAACTACAGTCTCCGCGGGGGTGGGTCGACGGGCTGTTGCGGTGTGTGATGTATAAAGTCCATTACACTATTGCATGTTGCGCTGGCGGCCGTGCATCAGATCTAAATAGAACTGAAACGTAAAGAGTTTTACGAGCGACGATAAAGAATCGTTTGTTATATAAAAATATAAATGCGTTTCGTGCAATATTTTCTTGCTACTGGCACCGCTGGAATGCAGTCCGACGAATTCCATCATGGCGAGTACACGGAACATGTTTAGTTTACAATGAACCCGGTGTGGGTGTAAACAAATAAAAAAGATGCAGACGGTGTTTGTAGGTCTATGACATTGTGACAGTTATGTATGATCATCATTATGCAACTTGTGTTTTCGACAAAATTATGTAAACATAACACGCGTGCTGTTTAAGCAGAGTTTAAGTAAGTTCTCATCGAGAGGTGCATTCCAACATGCAAAGTAATAATTTTTTCGTTGAGTTGATAGTCGAGAAATTTTGTTAATTATTAACTGGATTTAATTTTGGGATTTTTGAGGCGCGCATCGAAGCTATACCAGCGCCACCTATGTATTTTTTATTTTTCTAGGGATTTTTAAAGTTTTGGAGGTTATTTGAAGCCAATATTTCTTTAAAATCTGTGCAATCAATATTTTCGAAAAAATTTCAGTTTTTTGAAAGTAGTTTTGTGCATTTTTATTGAAAACTAGCTTTTACCCGCGACTTCGTCCCTGTAGTGTTTAATAAAAATGTAATTCGTTTTTACTCCTTTATTCTAGACATAGTATGTGTCAATTCTATCAATAAGATTCCCAATTTTATTTTAAAGAAATTAATTATATAAAGAATTGCTAATAATGCACTTCAGCGCGCCATCTCGAATTTAACTATTTAACTATAACTATGATTGAATCTCAATGCCAACTTTTATCCCATCGAATTCGAATCCTATTCGAATTTTTCTTGCCGTAAAAACCATCTTTGGACGTTAACGAACATTTAAAAAAAGAATTAGTCCACTTGGTCTAGGCGTTGTTGAGTTATGCGCTTACCAACAAATTTTACGATTCATTTTTATAATATAAATGATAAAATAATAAAGAGCGTAACATAACATACCGTGTTTATTAGATAAATATAAGATTAATATAAAG